GGGGGGGGCGGGGGGGGGGGTGGGATTACCGCGTCTCGTTAAAACCGACAAGGTCCTGGTCGAATCCCAGTCTGGTCAACTTTCTTTTTCTTGTTCTCAGTTCAGGTTTGAATATTCTATCATTCTTATTCCGTCCATCCTTCATTACTCCATCCAGTATGCGAGATGCGGGTGCAGCGCGAAGATATATACACCGCCGAAACAGCCGTGATAGTGGCGAATGACCTTAACAGCGACGGTTCTGTGTTCCCGTTCTGGCTCGCTAGATCGGCCCGGAGGACTAGAATCAGGGTCAGCACCCATTCCATTAGCTTAGTCGAGCATCTTGAATAGCATACCATCATTATCAACTTTTAGAAATCAAGGAATCAACATACTCTTTGTTGCTTTACCTATTTCACTTGGTCCGAGCCAATCTCATCGGCTACTTGTATGCCTCTTCCCTTGAAGCCCGCAACTGCTAGAACTTGACGACTGAATTATTCCTAGCCTTCACATAAGTGATAGAATTGTTTGACCCAGAAACTCTTAATTTTTACGAGGTTTATGCACTTGATGTTCCCGACCACGAGGACCATGTTGATTGGGATGATTGGCTCTCACATGAGGCACTCGGCAATGGAACAGATCTGACTGCCGCACAATACGACTTAAGCGACTGTGGAGACTGTGATAAGAGTCCAATGCTTCTGCCCTATGCGCTTCAACTTCCTTCTAATCAGCCAGCTGCCAACAGGTCGGTCGTCTTGCAACAGTAACAACAACAGCTGGAGCCCGCAAGTAATAGCGGCGGAAGATGCTGGGTCAGCATCGTCGATCAACGGCAAGGTATATGAAATACCAGCCTCCCCCGAGCCACCACAGCCAGGGCAGGTCCGGGGGGATGCGATTAGTCGCGGCACGATAAGCTCAGAGGTAGGCTCGCATATCTTGAGTGGTTTAATGGGGCGATTAAACCCCTTCTCTCCCACGGTTTCGCTGGCCGAGGAGGTCTCGCTGTCGTATATGCGCCGGTATAAACCGTTCCTCCTAAGTGCCATCTTTGCTGTCGCGAGCGGCACTATTGTGCCACAGCTGCAGTCTGAGCTGGCACTGACGTTTACCCGCGACATAGCATCTCATGTCATGTTTTACATGGAAAAGTCCGTCGACCTTATCCAAGCGATGCTAGTCTACGCTACGTGGCACATGAGGCACCGCGAATGCCGAGACTCTGGGTTTGGCGTCTACATTCGCTTAGCTGCGCTTATGGCCATAAATATTGGGCTTAGTGATCCAGGTAAAATTATGCTCGAGGGTGCCTTGGAAGAGCAGGCTGAAATGCGCCGCACATGGCTTAGTTGCTATCACACCGCCTTGCTGTATGATCCATCTCTTGTGCTGACGCTCACCACATGGACTCCGGCTAACGTTTGCGACAGTATTTCCCTCTTTCGACGGCAGCCGCATCTGATCAGATTCTCTCCTAATATCCAGGAGTGTCTGTCATTCTCTGGCGGCGGGCCTGCAACGTCGCGCCCATGCACCCAGCTCTGCAGCATGGTACGCTTGGCGCAGTTACGGAAAACGTGCCTATGGTTTTCAGCATGGCTGATGACCTGGATATATGTATTATTGATGATCCCAGAACACAGTATCATTTGAAGATCTTCAACAAGAGACCTGTAGAATGGGGAGAAGACGCGGCTGAAAGCACGCATCCATTTCTTTCCTTGGCATGAGTCTGGACACATTCCCAACCATGGACTGCCGATTCCTAGGTTGGACCCTCTATGCGTGTGTCGCCATGGTCCAGTTATTCGGGCTGCTCCGCATGCGCGGACCCAAATGGGCGGATGTATTTCTGCCCGATCTGGGAGTAAACTATTACCTTGATGCAGTAATTCACAAGCTAGAAGCTATGTCCAGGCTGGATGCCAGCGCCAGTTTGCAGGGGTATCTGCGCGCTTTTAAATGATTGAAAGAGTGGTACCACCACTGACGCTCTGTGAGTACTATCCCAAGCGTTATAGGTGAGATTAGGCATAGTATAGTCAAACCTGCTCCCCATGCCTGATGCGGCATTTTTGGATCGTATGGACCTTTTGGCCGCGCAGCAGTCGCAGGCGCAGGCGCAGTTGCGGGCAAATATCGATGCATTCTTCAGCGGTTCTCGCTCCGAGGAACCCAATTGGAACTCAGTTACGGGTGCTGGCGCGCCGGAGATCTCTGACCCACTATATAATAATATTATCATATGGTTTGACTAGCCCGATAATAATTCGACTCGATTGAACATTTGACTCTAGCTAGCTCTGTCCTGTCTCTGTAGACACACGCTGCCACCGGTCCCTGAATCAAGCATGGAAGATGGTGAGTATTCTACCAACACAAGGAGGAGAAAATTGGGCCGACTGTGTTCCTATTTGAACCGAATGAGGGGCGGGGCGTGTATGAATAACCGGACTCGGTCCCGATTCCACCGACTCGGCGTTGCACGCTGGGTACCTAGGGTAGTAGTAAACTGGATGATTATAAAGGGAATATCAGACTTCGTCCGCGGATGCCGAAATTGCAGCGAGAATTCGTGGGGTTAAGGTCAATAGCCATCAGCGCTCGGTAACCACGGTTGTATAGTAGCTACTAGTATCAAGGGTGCTCGGAACTCTGAGCGGAATTAAATGCTTGTCTTTGTGAATGAATTGATTATTAATGGTAGTATAGCTCTCTCCAGGCGAAAACTTTACTCAAGGGAAGCAAGCACTCGGCTTTGATTATTTATAGGGATATTCTCCGCAGGAGATCGATACCTTGTCAGTGAAGCAAATCAGAAAGTTTCCTCTTTAATGTCGCTCGCCTTCTCAGTTCCAAAACCAGACAGCAAAGATAGGATGTCCAGCATGAATGTCGGCAGGCCAATTTCTTCAACAAGCTGTATTGAAATTAATACTTGCATATGCACAAAACAACGTCGAAGCATCAAAGGAATCGCTCGAGGCTCATCAGGCGCCACCTCCAAGTGAGGCGCACCTGGGCGATCAAGACAGCGAGGCCATAATGAAAGAGATAAGTCCCTTCACCGATCTATCTAGAGATATAGTCGGGTGGGATGGGCCAGAGGATCCTCAGAATTCAAGGTGTGGTGCACTGATTGACAGTTGTCGTTACGCTTGCTTATTGAAAACCCAGGAATTTCACGGATATGGCTGCTCTTGGGCATTCTGAGCAGTATTACTTTTCTCAGGCAAGTACCCTTATCGTTAGGAAGCAAACCTGGGTTCAGAACTAATTATTCTACCCAATAGTCCTTTGTCATTCTCGATCGACGCTCCTAGCGTGCCTCTCATGAACTAGGAGTTCCATAATACGTCAAGTATTCTCAGCTCCCTGGTTTTCAGTGTCTTTGTTCTGGGCTTTTCGGTACGGTCCTTGACTTCCCTATCCATTTTGACACAAGAAGACTAACTCGCGAATCAATAAGGTTGGGCCTCTTGTGATATCCCCGTTAAGCGAGATATTTGGCCGTCAACCTGTCTTAAACGTCGCAAACATCTCCTCAACGGCGTGGCAGATTGGTTGTGCTCTTACTCCGAACCCGAGCGCGTTAATCGCCTTCAGATTTTTCGCTGGCGTAGGCGGCTCAGCATGCCTAACAGTCGGAGGAGGAATTATCTCCGATCTTTTCCCCGTCGAACAACGCGGCAGGGCAAATGCAATGTTTTCAATAGGCCCCCTATTTGGTCTCGTGATTGGGCCCATCATTGGCGGGTTTATTGCTCAGCGGGCTGGCTGGAGATGGATATGCTGGGTACACCTCGCTGCCTGTGGCACCCTGACTCTGGGAAACATCGCGTTGAGCTCGGAGACAAATCCAGTTGTTCTGGTTCGTCGAAGAACTGAGAAGCTACGCGAAGAACTCATACGCACTGAAATTTAGAGTGCCTACGAAATTAACGGCAACGGACTCGGAAATAGGAAGCGCGTAGTCTTCTCGCGCGATATAATCCGCCCGCTGCGGATGTTGTTCGGGTCTCCTTTTCTCTTATTACTCGCCGTTTTACCTGTCTTTTTTATTTGGAATGCTCTATCTTCTCTTCACCACATTAACCTCATTATTTTAGGGGGAGTATCACTGGCCAGTGGAGCTCTGTAGCATCGCGTACCTTGATATGGGGGTGGGATTCATGGTTGGGCTTGTTGTTGTTGCTAAAACGTCTGATGCGACAGTTGTTCGTCTCACAAAGGCTAACAGCAACGTCTACGAACCCGAGATGCGTCTGGCTAGCAGTGTTGTTTTCGCTTTCTTTATCCCCATCAGTTTCTTCTGGTACGGCTGGACAGCGGAAAAGCACGTCCACTGGATTGTGCCGATAATCGGCCTTATTCCATTTGCCTTTGGGATGATGGGTATCTTCTTACCGATACAGACATACTTCATCGATGCCGGTGGGCCTTATGCGGCTTCGGCCATGGCAGGCTTGAGAGCACTCCGCTGCCTATTCGGCGCCTTCCTCCCTCTTGCTGGGCCAAGCATGTACTCAACATTGGGACTTGGTTGGGGAAATTCATTACTAGGGTTCTTGGCGCTCGGGCTGATTCCAGCACCAGCACTCATTTATCGGTATGGGGGACTTATCCGGAGCAAATATCCGATTAGCTTGGCTTGAAGAACAGACGGCAGGTATGGGGATATGGCTGAGGTTATGGTTCGGGGAGGATACAACATCCGAACGTGTACATTAATAATTTGTACATTGGGCTTTGAAAGAAAGTGGATTAGAAGTTGGGCTTAATTAATTTAACATAGACTGCCCATTTATTTATTGCTGGGCTGCGTGGCTGACCTGAGCAATGTAAGCCGTCCCTAGATAGAGTCGGATTAAAGTTGAGGCGCGTCTACTACCCACTTTTCACACTTATACTCCATATACTACCCTGTCTTGCCGTATGGCCCATTAGTTCTATGGGTGAAGCCCGGGGTGCGGATCATGGACGCAATTGGTAGTAAAACAAACCAAGAAGATTTTGTTTTACTCTAGGAAGATATCAACGGATGAAAGCTCGGGTATGTCAGACTTTCTCCTTTACCATATGTGTTCCCATTTTGAGTCTCATAACTCCCAATATACTCGCATCTGTGGCTTTGCTCTGTCATTATGCTAACATGTCTCTTAAATAGATAATGGTTGGCGGTTCCATCCACTCTGAATCAAAGATGACTGAGTACTTGAATAACAGGGAGTACACTACTGCCTTGTTAGAGATCAAGACTGCTCTCGGGGTATACTCTTATCTCAAAAATCCTGAGGTTAAATTGAGAGTGTAGCGAATCATTTATCACGTTCGACAGCAGTTAGAACTCACAGAAGATGCGTTGGCTGTCAAGTACCCGAACGAATTGATCGATCTGGCCAGTGCATGGGATGAATATTTGCTTGATCTTCTTAAGTATATTCAGACTATGTCAAAAACATTCATCAACACTTAGGCCCTAGCGATTGCAGCTAAAGCCCAGGTAACAGAGGACAGATATTATGCAACGCTGATTGAGGAGCTTTGTTCGGCCCTTATGGTACAGGCCACTCTTATCATCCAGCTTGACGCAAACAAATATGTCAAAGGGTATGATGAGGATAGTGATCCGATGGATATCGATTAGTATCAAGATCTCTCGGCACACGGAGAGAGGAAGCAATTGTATGAAGTTTAATATTCCTTGTACCTAAACCGAAACATCGATGACTTCTGCGCAGTGCACTCGGAAAGAGAGTTAAAAAGTGAGGAATCATGTAAGAGAAAAAGCAGAGTGTTATCGATCCATCTCAAAGAAGGCATCGAGAGATGCTCTGCGTGTCAATTTTCAGACAAATCGCGACTTAAAAGCATCCGTAATACAGATGCATTATGATCCTTCATGCCCGTCAACGATCGCTCTCGAATGAGTTTATGGCGAGCCTCTGCACTAGGCGCATCAAGTAACATAGCAGGTGAGAGAGATGTAGAATCCTGGATCTCTTTGTTTGCACCAGCCTCGAGTAAAAGGCGAACCATAGCGTCGTTATTTTTTAACGCAGCCTCTAACAACGGTGTCCGAAACATCGAGCGCGTTGTTAGGTCCGGATTTATCCGCTTGTCTGTAAGCAGAATTTTCACTAAGTCCTCTTCGTTCGCCTCGACTGCGGTCTCTAATGGGGTGCCATTTGAACCTAGTGCGTTTGGATCAACATCGTCCCGGTTGACGAGCAGACGGACTAATTCGGCCTGCTTGTGCCGGATAGCGGAATGAAGAGGGGTCTGCCATCCTGTTTTGCGCACAAAACCGGCGTGAGCACCAGCTAATAGTAACATCTTCACAATTTCTGCGTGGCCATTTCGTGCAGCTCCACATATTGGAGTTTGCTTGTCCGTGTCGTACGCATTCACTTTTATATTTGGTTGAGCTAGGAGTGCCTCAACCACTGCAGTATGCCCACGTGTGCTCGCCGCGTTAAGTGGCGTACGCATAGATCGGTCCCTTTCATTTGGATCGACTCCATACTCCAGAAGTATCTTGACTGCCTCAAGGTGTCCTCGTATTGCTGCCGAAAACAGAGGCGTATATTTTGAGGGGCCACCTGAAGTCGGCAATTCGGAAGGACCTCTAGCAACTGTCCAGGCTTGAAGGGCTCTCTTTAATGCGGAACAATTTCCTGATCGAGCTGCGATGATAATAGCTGATTTTTCCGGATTCTTTGCATTACGCAAGTAAAGTTCTGTGATAAGTGTGTTGTATACATCACGGTTGACTTGAACAAGAGATGCAAGATCAGATTCAGTGTCAATCCAGGACGCAATTTGAAGAAGTATTTCTGGGGCAAATCGTGTGAATGGCATGGTTTCAAGGTTTCGAGATGCCCAAGCGCTCCCGAGGTCTTAGGTTCAAGTCGAACTTCCAAAAAACATCCTTGTATCCGTGCTCTTTGGCCCACCCACCGCTTTCGCTTATGGGTGCACCGCACCACACATGCCCGTCACATGTTGAAGATTCGCCTGCACCTAGCTATTTCAACCACCCAACATGCCTCAGTCCGCCGATTCGACGTAACTCGCATAGTCGAGGCCTGTGAAATGACTAGCCCAAAAGAAGCCAAGTATACCCCGTCGTTGATTTTCATTGGATTGTAGCCGTCAATTGCAAAATAGGAAGAGCCTTTCTGTTAGGCACTATACTGAAGTCAACTCATTTAATACTTGAAGAGGCTGCCTAACGTTAACCGTAGCTTCTGTCCACTACGCTCCTTCTCCTTTGAAGCCCGTCTGTTTTTTTTGTCTCTTTCGTTACTAGATTTTCTCTGAGCTTCAGTCTTTACTATAAATTTTTGGTTTGTTTCTTTTTCTGATTTAAGTACCGCATTTATTGGAGATAACCTAAACAGGCATACCCATTATCTTCCGAAGGTTGTATACAGTCAGTGGACTCCGCTGAACTCCTTGCTGATCTCACCACACGTTCAAACTAAGAGCCCTATTGTGCTAATGCTACCTTCACCAGGAGCGTGCTAACCATGCTTTCATGACTCATTTGTCGACCATCTTGATTTCTCCCCTCATCCCTAACTGGCAATTTGGATAGGCTCAAAATATGACTAATCGTAGCGGGAGATAGTATCTCCTGCCTCCGGGATTCCGACAACTTTCTTCGAACCCCGCACCTAGCAAGTATGTGGCGACGAACATGAGTCTGTCGTCTATACTGCCCTGATACTACAAGACGTATTCTGGCTGCGCATGCTAATGTAGCTCGTTCTACTCCTTCCCAGCACACCGCCACTAGCCTGATGTCCGTCAACAAACTCGCAACCTGCCTGTGGTTCGATGGCCAAGCAGAAGAAGCCGCCTCGTTCTACACGTCCATCTTCAAGAACTCCAAAATTACGGGGCGTCACTATTACTCTGAAGCCGGTAATGAGACACACGGGCGCGAGGCAGGCAGCCTCATGACTATCGAATTCGAGCTCAATGATCAGAAGTTCGTCGGCCTTAACGGTGGCCCCTACTTTAAATTCAATGAGGCAATCTCCATCATGGTTAACTGTAAGGACCAGGCCGAGGTCGACTACTACTGGGACAAGCTTGGCGAGGGCGGCGATAAGACCAAGAGGAAGTGCGGCTGGCTGGCGGATAAGTTCGGCCTGTCGTGGCAGATCGTGCCTGAAGAGCTCTCCAAGGTGCTTAACAGCCCAGAGAAAGAGAAACGGGACCGTGCATATCGTGCTATGATGCGCATGGAGAAGCTTGATGTGGACGAGCTACGCAAAGCTTTCGATGGCGAATAAGCTTACTCTCTACTGGCTCCCCTGTTTGGATGACTTAACGCCAATACTCGTCCTGAGTCAATAAACACGATAGCAATGGCGAGGATAGTTGAGGGGCTCAAACGCTGGAGTCACTTTCGATTCCGGCAAGTCACTAAATTCACGTTTGCATACAGTAACATGGCGTTAAATCCAGCTCCTCGAGTAAGATATTGACCTGGGAGACCTCGCTCTTTACATTGTGTGTCTGTCAACTGTAGTCAATTCCAACCGAGGCCTCAATAGTAACTCATCTTTTCAACTACAAGATCAAGATGATTCTGTGGGAGCACATTACTTTGCGCACCACTACCTCCTTATTCCCACCAGCAATTGATTGAAAGCTTTGTGAAAATCGATTTTGCCATATCAGTTTAGACACAGGGGTCAATCTCCTTTTTCTATTGCCATCACTGAATCCATATTAGCAGGCAGGTCTTTTTTGCGGACAATGTCTGTCAACAAGTTCAACTCTCCCACAAGATGCTTTGTCCCTGATAATAGTTGAGAGAGATCATCTTCCAGGGCTATCATTGTAATCTCCATCGAAGCAATGGCTGAAAACCCCCGCTGGCTGAAATTATCTACACTAAGCAGGCTGGCACCAGGAGCAGCAGCAGCAAGCAGCTCGGTAGGCAGACGGAGTTTAGGCGCCTTAAGATAAAGAGGCAATGGGTTCCCAGTTTGAATGGCGCCTGACAGTGTCGTGAGAAGAGATGTCACTTCGTGGGACCTTAAGTCACAGGAAGATATGAGCCGTCTGATGTCTTGTACGCACGGTTCTGAGGAGACTGGGCCAGTGAGATGGAATGAATCGGTGATTTCGATTAACGTTGCCGAAAATTGCAGTATGCTAGGGACACAATATATCAGTCTTCGCAACAAGTGGCACGGATAAGGAACGAACTTTCGCGCATGCTCGGCCAATTTATCGTAGGTATCTCTGGGAAATTTTCCCCCAAGCGTAGGTTCCCAGAGAAAGAACCACATGCTCTGTTCCATTTCCTGTAGGAGAACAATTTCCTTAGCAAGCACACGAGTGCGAGCTTTCTCAAGTACTCTCCCGAGACTTTTCTTGTCGTTATGATCTCCAGCCAAACCTTTGATGAATACGGAGTTCGTCGTATAAACTGAGCTGTAGTAATGTGCGAGAAGATACAGAGAAGACGCAAGATCTCGTCGGAAGTAGCTTTTGACTGTGGCCGCAGAGGGGAAATATGTGAAAAGAAAAGCCATCCCAATGCCACCAACAACAGTTGCGAGTCGATAAGGCGACAGCACGTAGAGAGCGTGATATGCTTGTCCGTTAGACTCGGAGAATAGGACCCCCACTTTCCTCACCTGAAGTGCATAGCCCACAATCAACATGACTGTGACCATTTCGACTATAGGAGGCACGGCATGAGTGGGGAACCTAATTAATGGGTAGTGGGACAAGAACATTGTGATCCCAACGAGGACAAGGACACCTGCTGGCTGTTGGTCGACTATGTACCAGTCAATATACGACAACAACATTCCAACAATGGTCCCAAGGAGCCGCATCGATTGACCATACATAGCTGACCCAACGGTTGATGTCATGCTAATTGCAATCATGATCGAACCCCAGATTAGACGTTGCTGGATATAGAAGTGCTGCGAGTTTCTGAGAAACGCGACGATTGAAAGAGTCATGGTAGCCACGGCTACTCGGAATCCAAACACGGACTCAGGTGAACCAAAGAAGTGAAACCCCCTTCGGAAGGAATCCCCAATTTTCTCCCACCTGCTTTGTGGGAAAGCGTGCTCTGGATCTGTACCAGTCTGTAGGACATCGTCCAAATATATTCTGACGGTTCCAGACCTTCTGCTGTACTGATAATAATCCAATTCTCCGTCCTCTCTAGACAACGAGGACCAGAGCCATTTTTTCATCTGCTTCCATGTTGGGAGCACCAGTGCTTTATGATTCATAGTACCATCGTCCACCTTGAATTCCGCATATTTGATCAGGTCTAGGATTCTTCTCGCAGTTGATATGAGCGAAGATTCCAACTACAATAATTGTGAGTGTATGCGATTTGAACCCAGGGGCTAGGTGAAACCTACATCAAGGAGAAAGTAAAGCTGTAGTCGATATCGTTCACGTTGGTGAGAATTTATCCCCGTAGATATAACAGATGATTGATGCATGCCTGTCCATGAGAGCCAGGTCTCGAATGGATCCTGCCTTCCTTGAAGGAAACTGTCAATCATCTCTTCCAATCGTGTACTCGTGTGATCTCTGTTGGATTCAATATCCAATTGAGAGAACTCTGCTGCTTTGTTGAGGCGAAAATTGTGCAAAGATTGGCCAAGACCTTCTTTCATGGCTTGGATAAGTTGTTCAGTGGGACCACGTCTTTGCTCCAATACCCAACACCATTTCTGCCGTTCCTCTTCATGAGGAATGCTCTCCATCTCGTTCACTAAACGAGGGAAGCGTCTGGAGACTTTGGCAAGTGACTCCGTCCACAGCATTGAAGCTAATACCTTCTTCAACATGCGAGTGATGTTCGCTAGTTCTGTTGGCCCTAGGTAATCCCAACCAACCTCACGTTTTGCGTAGCGCAATTCCGATGTTACCCTTCCAAGGGATTTGGCAGCTTCCATGGTTGAATTTTTGAGGGCGTTCGCTTCTGGCCAAGAAGGTGTTTTCTCTTGCTGGGAGATATCTGAACTACCATGAACAAAACGCCAGTCATGCAAGGGTAGGGATTGGGCGAATGCAAGCTGGGAATCCAGTGTTTTCTGGATCGCATGGAAATACTCCACCATATGCATACTGACAATCTTTCGAGATGTGAGTGGAATAATGAACACATTGACTGCTGCCGCCAGTCCAAATCCCGCAAAAAATGATCCCACTAAGTGTTTGACTGGAGAAGAATCTTGTAATTAGCAAGCATATACGGCTACGATCGCTGATAGAAATCTTACCTAAAGCTCCAGCTTCTTCCATCGTTTTGAACTGAGTTCCATAAGTCGCCGTTACCTGAATAAAAATGGAAAATATTATCGATGGAATGAAGTATTGCGGTCGAAAAGCACGGAACCTACCCCGTCCGTCAGGCTTCGGAGCTGAAAACAGGAAACTTTACGAAAGAACATACGTGTTTGCCAGCCACACTTCGAATGACAACCAGATTGCCATGTTAACACTCGCAGCGGCATTATACGGGCTTACAGGAGCACCAGTAACCGGACCAGGACTGTTTCCTCCGTGGGGTATATGGGTTGTATTTGCGCGAGCCCGGACGGCACACCACATTGATAAGAAAGACACCGCGACTGCGAAACCAACCGAAATCTAGGGTAAAAAGAGAAAATTAACGTATACAACTTAGGTCATACGTGAATACAGGTCCATACAATGCTCACTATTAAATTTTGAAAGAATCGGGCTCGTGGCGCGACTGGAATCGTTAGAATCGACATTATGGGGATGAGATAGCCAATGGTGGAAAACTGCCGTGCCACAGCATCGCTCTGATATCTGCGAACGTCATTACACTGCGCTAGCACACTGGAGGGAGTGGATGTACATTGAGAGTCCAATTGTTGGTGCAACCGCGCCTCTATAGCTCATACCGGTCAGTTTAGGATTGGATTATGAGATGAAGAGGGGCCTCATCAATTGCGAAAAACCAAGCTCTGCAGAAGGCATACTTGAACATCAGCAGCACGATGGGGATATTCAATCCCAGCTTCACCTGGAGTTTCTTCCACATAGATACCAAATTAGGGAACTCCATGATGTGTATCTCATCTTGAATAGAGCAGCAACATTAAGATAAGATAATGAATCAACGATTTGATAGGAAATATAACGATGAATTCTCCGTACTTTGACACAGGACGTGATGATGAAATAGTTTATCATGTGATGCCGGAAGAGCCGGATGTCAGAGTAGCAGGATTGGATACCCGGAACAAAGGTGATACCTGTACGGAGTACACAAAAGTCTCACCTAACGATCGTCCAGTAGTTTCTTCCAGACCTCGAGATAAGAGCGGTTTTGAAATCTTAATCACGAACCGCCCCTCATAGACCAGCAACTACTCCATCTAAGACCCGCGCCGCACGCAATTTTAGAAGCTAACACCAATGCAAGCCAATCAAAATGATAAAGTACAGTGGGAATTGCACAGCCCGATGGCAAATTATCTCTGATGAAAAAATGATTGCTAGGCGTAAGGAGGTAAGGGAAGGCGAATAGAATTCGACTATGTCTAACAAGAGAATCTGAAGCAAAATGGCCCTGGATAGGCTAAGGCCAAGAAATTCTGATCCTGGAAGCAGCCGAATTGCCGTGAAAATGAGATACGGCAGAGAATCGTCAGCACACACCACGAAGCGAAGATCAAACAGAGAGATTCCGTCAGTTTTCTTTTTAAATGACCAATAATCTGATAGAATGCAGGTGTCAGAATTCATCCAGAATTCCATGTGGAGGACTCACATCACTTTCCTAATAAGTAAATATATCTCCCGGTTACGGCCGGTTCAACAGATGGTAAACATCAAGAATATTTTTGGATAGAACACAATTTAGTATATCTTTCTTTATATTTGCTTTATTGTTTTTAGGTGCAAAACACGTTGAAACACCATTTATAGAATTTGGACAAATTGGACAAGTTGTATACTCCAGACCGGTTATGATGGTCATTCCATGTCAGCGTCGCCCTCCCCTGGCCGATTAAACAGCTGTCCTCTACACCGACAGCATCATTCCCAAATTTGCAACACCGGGAGCGACTACCGACCGTAGGAAGCTCGAAACAGCAGCATAAAGATCGGGGCTTTCAGTTTGTCCATTGCTGGTATTATGCGGTGAGTTGTTCGTATGTTACTACAGTGCATTTACACCTTCCCTTTTCGGATACATTAATGGATGAATCATCTTTACTAATTTTTTACTAATTTGTTATCAAACATTGTGTTGGTCGACTGCATATTTGTGATAATCCAGAATCAGTTACTGTGAACTCTCATGAAATACACTCAGTCTATAGAAAATTGATTATTTAAAATCCCTGGCCCTGCTTAGAGTAGCATGTCCATATGTTCTAATGGAAGAAGTTTCTTAAATATTACTTGTTGTCGGCGACGTGGATGAGGTAAGGAAAATGATCCTATGCGGTCCCAGTCCGGCTATCGTGATTTTCCCTGTAGCCTTCTGCGGTTTTATGGGCCTAGTTCTGTCAGACCGAGGTAGAGTGGGGCTAACTACCTTATCACGAGTAGAATCGAGTTTGATCTACCTCGATCGTGTCTCTCACACTTTCCTGGAGAAAATCTTTTGACTTACACTTTTTCACCAGCTGAATATACTTTTAAAATGTGTCTCCTCCTCCCCTTGCTTCCTCTCCTGCCCTGTTGGACTATAGTTCCTTGTATCGGTCAGTAGCCCAGCACCGATGGAGGATCAAGCAACAGATTTAACTGCTACTCGTGCAATTCAATTGAATAACAAGGAAGAAGAAGATCGCGAAAGCGTAACAAAACTGGGAAATCCGATCCTTACTTATCAATGTTTCTTCAGTTTGGTCTTACAATGTTCAATCTTGCGGTCCGGTCAATTTAATTTGGAAACGTGACAATCTTAACAAAATGAAAGGAAAAAGATTGGCCTGGTTGGTTTATCGTCTAGAAGATGAAATTCAATGCCATCGTTGAGTATCATCATGTAGGTCAATCGCACAGATCAGGTTACCCCGCATTGGGCAACCATACATGCGTATATGCTGACCCCTCGTCTAGGCGCGTTCCAGAAACGCCTGAGACAGGGCCAGATGGTATATATCTTTGATAAAATCAAAAGAAATTGCAATTTGAGTTACATGGTAGTTCTAAATGTAATAGAGCAACCATCTTTTATATGCCTTAGAATCTGATCGTCTCAATTGAGCACGCATCACGGGGAGAATTATACCTGCGTCTTGACCATCCCAAAATTCGCGAAAACAGATCCCTGTCAGGCAGTCACAAATCAAGCGAGTTCAAATGGCGAGATGCTGTGTGTATGTCGACGCTGGAAGGTGGAGGACGTTGGTATGCAAGGGAGAGATCAGGAAGTCTCAGCCCTTGCTGTAGTGTAGACCTTGCAACTTGCCACCTCTAACAGTTTGAGGTAAGCTACATGCCCCATTTAGATCAATGAATACGAGCTTGTGCCGCGGAAAGTCTTCCGTAATGTGGGACTACTGGGTTTAAATTCGCCGGTTGTAGTAAGATGGTTACCATAGCTGGGGGTCTAGCGGTGAGCGAATAAGATTGAGTTTATACGAAACTCTCGTATAAACTCAACATTGTCAGATATCATCACGTCATGAGTAGTTTAAAGGGTTTACCGTAACGTTGGCCACTGAATAATCTGCCCTAGAGGACTCCTAAAGGAAATGACCAGCCTTCCGCACCACAGCCTTCCGCACCCATGCCAAGGACAAACTCAATTCCATTTGGAAGATTCAGCATACACTATTTCAACAGTACATAATAAATCAAGAAATTGGAAGGTCTGCTCTGCGAATGTAACCTTAGTAATTAACAAAGGTGTATCTCATGTATGCAGCACAGTATTTATCTATACCCCCGCTTCGGGTGAGTCCAAGCCAATAACATCATAAGAATATGACACGTCGAAGTACGGTGTAGCGCAGCATCCCGTTGCTAGAATTCTGGTAATAAAATTCAAGATAAGAGCTTGTTTACTATTGGATAAGAAGTATTGCCTAAATAGGGAGCCTAGACAGAATTGACATCATGACATTGTCCACATCGGGCAAGTTGGGATGTGGGGCCGTGCGCCACGAATTATATAACGACCATACTTCCGATGACATTCACGTTCAATCGACTAGATTGTCGAAGTTATCTTTCACCTTGTATACAACATGGAGTCCAGAAGAAGATCAAGTCTCAGCGCTCTAGACAGACCCGACCAATGGATGCTCGAGCAGGGCATGGCAGGTCATGAGCTGCCTATCCTTGACCAGTCTGGAAAAACCACCATCAAAATTTTTCCCCCTAAGCCGTCCGGAGTCGTGAAGGATAAGAAGGCAATCCAAGCAGTGGGTAATCGTGATAAGCTATTTGCTCGCGAGCGAGAAGGCTGGGTAGGGTATGTTTCTTTTTGGTCGCTTGGCTATTGATATCAAAACAGCAAAGCTGATTGGTCGTTCTAACTGTCTTTCCAGCTACGTTGAATGGGAAAACTATCCAAACAAGAAGGCCAAGGCCCACAAAATTTTGACTTCACAAACGTTTGAGCCTTGTCCCGATTTTCAATGGGGTCCAATCCCAGGGACCAATCCTGTTCTCCCTGGCAACGATTTCAAAGCCTGGCATGCCGCCATAGGTGGAGAACTTGCCCCTGTTGCCGACGACTCTTGGAAGACGGTGCTGAAAGAAAAACACCCTGAGATGCTTCATTTATTGCAGTTCCCTTATAATGGGGAGCCACCAAAGCGTTTGGTGGCCGCAAAGGCAGTGACTCCAACCTCCCTTCATTTTGTGCGCAACCATGGCGGTATTCCGATTATCGATGAGGACAAATTTGATTTAAAGCTAGACGGACTTGTGAAGTCACCAAAAACGTACACCATGAAAGATTTGATGGATGAGTCCAGGTTCCCACGCGTGGAAGCAACAGTCACCATACAATGTTCGGGAACCCGCCGCATCGAACAAATTGCCTTATATGCCGGCCAGGGTGACGAAGTGCCACAAGCTCCATGGGCCGAAGGAGCTATTGGTACCGCACGGTATAAGGGTATTAGCTTGAAGAAGCTGATTAAAGATTGCGGCGGTCTGGTTGATGATGCGAAGCACCTCGAACTCTATGGTGCCGAGACCTACGTTAAAGACCTAGAAGTGGGCAATTATGTCGTCAGCGTTCCTTGGTCTAAGGTCAAGGCTAACGAGGTTATCCTTGCATGGGAAATGAACGGCGAGGTTCTTCCTAAAATTCATGGGTACCCGCTACGAGCGGTTGTGATGGGCTATATTGGGGCTCGAAGTGTCAAGTGGCTATATCGCATCAAAGCCCTCAAGAACCCAACTCTCGCACCTGTCCAATCCAGGGAATACCTCTATTTCAACCAGCAGGTGGGCAAATACAATGTGCGTCCTATAGACGGTATCCAAATCCAGGAGATGCCAGTCAGTTCAGCGATTATGTCTCCGTGGACAAAGCAAGTGATCATGCACGACGGCAAAATCCATTGCAAGGGCTGGGCGTATTCCGGTGGTGGTAGGTGGCCGGAGCGTGTGGAGCTTTCTGCCGACGGAGGTTTCAGTTGGTATGCTGTACCGGAGGAGCAGCTTTCCAAGAAAGGTAAATGGACTTGGCGAACTTGGGAAATTGACTTGCCCTGCGACGTGGAAGGTTGGATTGAGATAGTTTGCAGGTGCTGGGATAATTCTCTCAACACACAGCCCTTGAATGTGCGAGCGGCATGGAACTGGGGACTTCACGTCACATCTTCGGCCCACCGTATCAAGGTGTATAGTGTGAACAAAACTCGAAAGCTCACTCAGTTGAAGCTGTCGCAATTCGAGAAAAACAAAGTCGATTTGGCTCCTCTCACCCGTTACGACCCTGTTCCTGGAATGACTGACGCGGAATTGGGCGAATACTGGGAGGCTCACCCTCGCGATGTTGAAGTTTGAGGCTGGTCTACTCTTTTGATGGAACGGACCTGCAGGCTTTTCAGGGAGTGTGGTCTATCAGCGTTATAACGAAATTGGATATTAAGCAAAAACAGTTCGCTCACTAACCCGGATTTGTCCCTTTACTTCTATTTACAGCTATACGTTACGTGTTTTCTGGTCATGAGATTCAACGTGCGCTTCTCAAATGTGATAAAAGTAATTCATATCTTAATTTGATTTGCGGGGTTCCTTCTATTAATATTTTCAATCCAACATGGTGGTACAATGAAACTTGCACACTATATCCCTCAAAAGGTGTTAGACCCCTAGCCCAGCATGAACCACAACGTTGACCGCAAAGGGGTGCTTTCTGCTCACCAAACACATGAAGAGGTATTGTAACTGAAGGGGAAAACCTCACGCGCATTCTGGGCAATTGGATAAGGGAAGAATGGTTGGTCCGGTATGATCAACAGATTCTCAATTGCTGGTGGCTCGGGAATATCAATCTCGTATACCAAAGAAAGCTTAATTTGTTCTACTCTCTGACGGGGTCATTTAGTTACAAATGTTTATTGACATAAGGCAAAGTCAATCCCCAATCGACGATGTGTTAAGATAGACGTGCGCGAGAAATCACGGCTGGTTGTCTTCGCACCTCACACTACAATGATTGGAACCATACGGAAACTAAGCATGGGGACCGAATGCATGACTAGGATCAATACGTTCTTTTCAAGTTAATGGTTTCTAATCCATAACGCCTTAAAGAATCCAGTCGCTTAGCTCTCAATGAATGCTTCGACACTGAAAAATCTACTAATGGCGGTTGAATAGCACTCCGAGTCTTTCAAAGGCCATACTAGATTGTTATGGCCTAGGGCTGACTAGTATGCGCGCTGTATGAGACCGCGACACTAGCGTAAGAAATGCGAATCTACACGTAGAGATTAAGATTTTAGTCAAGAAGCGTGATCGATCGACAAGGTAGAATACCCTATGAAGAGGTTTAGGGGTCGAAGAGGGCCCCATCTAGGTAAATTACATATAGGAAGATAAGGTAGAGGATATGTATAATCGCTATATATTAGCTAGATCGAGTGATCATTGGGATATCCTGTTTCCAGAGTTTGTGATGGGGTGGATGACCGGGCCGACCTTGAGACCGTTTAGACCGTGAAATACGTTGGAGCTTTCAATCATATAAAAGAGCTATTAAGAATCCTAATGAAAAATAGCAACAAGCCATATTGCAAATGATATGTGTTTCATGGCAAATACTAGACAGCAGAAGAAATTTTTACAGAAAAGGTGGTATCTACAACAACATATGCGCCTAAAGCTTCGCCCGGAATGCACGTCGTAACGAATCAAGAGCAGAGGGGCCATCATAAATCTGCTGCTCAACCATGCGCGTGTTAATCTAGAAGATGTCAGTATTTTATCGCAAAAGAGCAGGTTTGTAGAGAGGGAGACATACGTGTTGAGGGCCTAAAGCATCTACAGTTTCCACACCGAGCAGGCGCATGCACGTCTTGGTCTCGTCGGCAAGAACTGAAACAACTGTTAGCACGAAGATAATTATGAAATTAATATATCACATACTCTGCAATGTCCTGCGAACACCATCGGGGCCACCGGCTGCGAGACCCCACAGCGCAGGGCGTCCAAGACCAACTGCCTTGGCTCCGAGGCAGAGAGCCTTCACGACGTCTGTTCCACGACGAATACCACCATCAACGTGAACCTCGAGCTTGTCAAAGACCTCGGGGCAGTATTTGCGGATTTCCAAAAGAGTATGCACAGCTGGCGGGGCAGTGTCCAGGGCCCGACCACCATGGTTAGAGAGGATGATTCCCCTGACCTGTGGAGCGTGCAGGGAGGCAAGGTATGCGTCCTCGTGAGTTTGCAAACCCTTCAGGATAATAGGCAGATCGGTGTGCTTTGCCAACCAGGGCAGAGTCTCCTGCCATGTTAATGATGGATCGGTCCCGGCAAACAGCTGCTGACCAACACCACCAGATCCGCCCGGACCGTTCACATCGGGAGTGCCATCAGCGGAGCGCTCAGCAGCCTTCACGCCACTTGTTACAGGGGCAGAGGCTCCAACAAGACTGTTTCGCTCATCTTCTTCACGCTTACCCGGAACGGGGGCATCGAGAGTGAGAACAATGAACTTGATAGCCTTGAGCTTTTTGATTCGAGCCAGCATCGCCTCGCTCTTCTTGCGGTCGATCTGAACATAGAGCTGCCAGCCAAAGACCTGATCTGGAGCTGCATCTTTGACGATTTGTTCGGGGGTCATGGATGCGTTATTGGAAATGACTTGCATGGCACCGAAGCTTCGGCAGGCCTCTGCGATACCCGCTTCACCGGAAGGATGGCCAAGACGTGCCATAGCTGCGGGTGACACATAGATAGGCATTCCCAATTTGTGTCCCAGTACAGAAGTATCCAGGTCACACTTGGTGCAGTCAACAAAGACTCTTGGTCGTAGAAGGATGGATCGGTAGACCTCGTTGTTAAAGCGCTTGGAAAACTTGTCGTCCGCTGCGGAATAGTAATAGGCCCATGCTTTCTGGCTTACTTGCTTCGTGGCGACTTCTTCAATCTCGTCGAGGTTGAGGAGATTTTGCATAGGAGGGGGTCCTGCCGCCGGCTCCTGGGGTTTTGCTGGTGTCTCGTCCTTGGGTAAGGTGTTTGGGTCCACTGTTCCGAGGCAAGCCTCTGGCTTGAGTTCATCTTCTAATGTACCCTGCGGGTGAATGGGGTCATATTCCTCGGTAGCATCTTTGCCAGAGAGCTTCAGAATGATCTTTGCACCTCCAGGGTGGCTTGACAGGAAATCCGTAACCTAAGTTAAGCCTATAGTCTTAGTCCTTCCGCTTTCCCTTTCTGAGGATGAACAAGAGAATGGAGTTTTCTTACATCATAGACTTTTCCGTATAGGATCACCCAGCAGCTCTCGGGAGTGTTGTGCTTCGCAACTGGCAATCGAGTCAGCGTACCCCCACGAATTGAATTGAGATCCCTTTGGCCGTTGGGGGAGGTTTGAGTGTTCCGTGCGGAGAAAGAAGTGCATACCTTCTGCGGCGTCGAATACCTTTGCCATGTTGAACCAGCACAATGCGACAATCACAGATGTCCAATTCGTAAAAGAAGCTCAAGAAGAGGGGAGAAATGAGATAAGTTAAAAGAAAGTCGGGGAAAAAGGGCCCGTTCGGCGAAGGCGCCGACCGTCAATGTTGGCCGTGTGGGGGTTCTTTGGGGAAATGTCCGGCGATTGGGCTCCCTCATTGGGCAAATTCGATAGCCGACCGACTTGAGCGTTAGAAACACCCCCACGTCATTGGTGGGGAAATTGCACGGGTGTTTTTGCACGACTCAACAGCCAGTCCAAAGCATCGTGGAATTCGCTGTCATCTGCACAACAGGTACTTGGAAATCGCTTGCCAAGGTTCTAGAATGCCCAAGTTCCAAAGCAATGCCAACGGTAGTTCGGTGGTGAATGCCGAAAACAGTTCGAAGCCGCGTTGCGACGAGATGATGGTCGAGTCCACGTGAGCACTAGATCACGCGGTTCCTTCTCTATCTTTCCCCATCGATATGACCCCATCGGCTGCCTTCTGAGAAATCCCCCGCCCCCCCAGGAACCTTCACGATACAGGTAGCCGAAGACCGGATCACCATGTTTGAGGTGTGTGTTGATTACTACACATTTTCTGGCTCTCTACACCGGGTGCCCATTCCTGTCTCGCCCTACTGACAGCTTCAGCGACGAGCGGCCGACCGATATCGTCTCCGGATGCACCGTGCTCGCTCCGCAGTGCTGACCCCGGACGAAATCGTCGAGGTGCGTGCCGCGCAGCGAACATTTGAAGGTGCCTATGTCCGAACTGCCCTCTCCCAATTTTCCTTCGCCCTCGTCGTCTTGAAGATCTTCACCGCCGAGTTCTACAGTATCGGTGCGCTATTCGCCATTTACGGTACCGGTGTCTTGATTATTGGATTGTTCCGCCGCTCCCAGGGAAACCGACAGTTCTTCTCGGAAATGGGAGACGATGGCATTCATCGACACAAGTTTCGAACAAGTGGCAATGCCGTGGTGGTGCTGACTGCGTTGAGTGTAGCGGCATACGCCTGCTTGATCGGCCTCACTTTGAAACTAAGCAACTAGTCAAACACGGGCTTCGGGGGAGGGAGAAGGTGAGATGCTCCGCCTCCCTCCCTGATGAAACTCTTGCAAGATCACATCTTCCGCGCACATGGTATCACGCCCACTCCTTCGCCCCCCCTGCGTTACCGCCAAGCGCCAAGAATGATGTACCACACCCCCGGCGACATTATCATCTGCCCGCGGGTACGGGCGGCGGAGGAGATCACCCGTGAGTCCGCGGCGGCATCCAGTTGGTCGGAGTCCGATCTGCTGTGTTGGGACTTGGGGACCGAGAAAACCGCCAAGCAGGCCGAGTATGTCGGAAAGGGACTGGCCCGAGCGGTGAGGCGTATGTCGGACAACGCGCCCCAAGAGTCGGCTGTGCCTTCCAGCGTGGTCGTTCGGTTTGAAATTGGGTGTTGAATCGTACCTCTGGGATCTTATTACTCGGTCCTTCTTGGCCACTGTGCATGTCCGCCAGCCTAGACGCTGATCACACCCGTTTGCTTTGTTCTTGGCAAGACGGAGAAACATCGTGCAGATCCAATGCTGACCGAACGCCTCGGTGGATATTCCGGGGGCATTGCAGGGCTAGAGATTTACACAGGGGTTGCAGCTGGGAGCTATGGAGGTTGATCCACCGTTCTGATTTGGCCTGGGTGGTCTCGAGCCAAGCATTCTAGGTAAGATAAAGATCGATGTATCGCCAATAGACTCGCGAGACCTTCCTCGTTCCTTCGGGCGGGAGGGAGTATATATAGAGAGAGCTAGAAAGCTACATGAATCCAGTCTCACGGGTTTTCTCAAGAATTGTTTTGCATCTGCAATAGAAATCTCACTTTGAAAATTGACATCATATCGTGCAGCCACTTATTGCCCCCAGAGATCCACCAAGTGGGTTCTGGCGATCAGTGTTCTGTGACTTCATTGTCTACGGGGAAAAGCGCCGATATGCTCTGAAGTGGACTTCTCTTTATCTTCAAGTTTCTATTTTTTTCTAAAGTAGCCCAAAAGATAAATCACCTACCTCCGGTGCGATCGCACGACTTCTCTGCCTCGTGTCAGCAGCATCACGTTGTTTCTTCATCGACCTCAACCTCACTCAATCTCTGCCCCCCCTTGGCGACAAGCAAATCTCTCTTCAGTGAACCCCATCAACACTCTCCCTCAACCACCATCATTCCAGAATTTAGCAATCACATCTCACTTCTTATCTCCGTGGCTTTTCCTTCGTGTGCTGGAACTCCCCCGTTGTGAGGGCAGCTCTCACCAACCAAATCGCCGAAGTGAAGCACACAGTCGGAAAGTGACGTCCACTTTGGCCGGAGTTGAGTCATCCGAGTCTCCCGCCCACCTTCTTTCTCCTCTCCCGCTTTGTTCTTCAAAAGGGATTTTTTTTTGGCATCGAGATCTCCTCATCCTCGAAAGCACAACTCTCGAATCGTCAAAAGATCTGAAGACCGGGTTCCACATACTCTCAAATAACCGTTCTCCCCGGAAGTTCCGATCCCCTCCCCTTAGCCGGGGATGGCGCAGCATTCCAGCATCGCGCGGTCGGCTATCATGACGTCGGCCACCTCGCCTGATCTCAAGGGCCTGGGAGATCAGAGACTTATGAACCAACGGCCCAGTGGCATCAGTTCCCACGGAGCTAGTCTCAGCTCGGGAAAAGAAGGAACTCTGAAGCCTCCTCCGAAGACTGTGGTCGGGAGAGCGCTAGGGAATGACTTGCATTCCGATGCCCACAAAACCTCACAGCCGCCCAAGGGCGGAGTCGGAACCGTTCTGACTGACACTCCGATTTCTACCGCACCCCCGTCTCCACAGATGTGAGTCTCCCCTGCGTCTGAGTCGTTCATATTCATCCCTCCCCAGGTAGTCTAGAACCTTGTCTCGTGTCAAATGATTGCTTGATTTACCCCCGGGCCTATGAGAGGTGGCCTGGGATCGGCAACCCTGCGATGTGCCTCGGGTGAAGTCCTTCCCGCAAGCGCGGGCATGGAGCTTGTCCCCAGAGATCACAACGCTTGGGCTTGACCGCTACTGGATACCTGACTGGGTCCTGGTTTGATGTGGCTGGATCCGCTTCTGGAGCCTCATCGTGTTTAATCTTCTTGCATTTTGACTGTGGGCCTGGTTGCCTGTCACTCTTTCCGTTGATGGTGACTCTTGGCTAATCATTATCTCTCTATACAGCAATGGTCTCTCCACCATCAGTACCCCCAGTCGGGTTCGTGCAACCACTCTTGATATTCCCGGCCTGACCAAGTCCAAGGTCTCCCCGGACGGACGCATCGCCCAGCGTGATGTTGGCTCCAAGCTCGTTATCGTCATGGTCGGCCTGCCGGCTCGAGGCAAGAGTTACATCACCAAAAAGCTGGCTAGATACTTAAATTGGCTTCAGCATGACACCGAGATCTTCAACGTCGGTGAACGTCGCCGTGTCGCCGCTGGCAAGTCACCCTCGCCGGCCATGCTTGGACGCCCCTTGGAGAAACGCGCCAGCAATGTTCACAAGGATCTCGTGGACTCTGTGCGCCGACTGAGCGTCAGCGTTGGAACGATGAACCAAAATGAATCGTCCCCACCCGAGAACAATTCGCCACCAAATGATACTGCTCTTCCACCCCCAGCGGTTCCGGACAAGATTCTCATCAACGGACAGGAGCCCGGATCCATCTCACAGAATGGAAGCACTGTGATTCCTTCCATCGATGCAGGTCCTGCCCAGTCCACCGACAACAACGAGCTCATTAGAGAAGCCTCCCCTGAACCAATGGATCAGAGTGCAAACTTCTTTGATCCCCAGAACCAGCGTGCTGTCAAGCTCCGTGAGCAAGTGGCACTGGATACTCTCGACGAGCTGCTCGAGTACATCCTCGAGGAAGGTGGCAGCGTTGGCATTCTCGATGCCACAAATAGCACCATGGAACGTCGCAAGGCTATTGTCGATCATATCCGCAAGCGTGCTGGCCCCGAGCTGGGCATTCTGTTCCTCGAGAGCAGCTGTGTGGACAAGAACCTCCTGGAAGCTAACATGCGCCTGAAGCTTTCTGGCCCCGACTACAAGGGTCAGGATCCGGTCACTGCTCTGGCAGACTTCAAAAAGCGTGTTGCTCTGTACGAGAATTCATACGTTCCACTTGGTGAATACGAGGAGAAGCACGACATGGCCTACATCCAAATGATTGACGTAGGCCGCAAGATCGTTTCGCATCAGACCCACGGATTCCTCTCCTCTCAGGTCGTCTACTACCTGCTCAACTTCAACCTTTCTCCTCGCCAGATCTGGATCACCCGCCATGGTGAGAGCGTGGATGACGAGGCCGGTCGCATTGGTGGAGATTCCGACCTCAGCGAGAATGGCAAGCGCTACGCAAAGGCCTTGGCTCGCTTCGTCGACCACCAACGCAAGCAGTGGGAGCTTTACCAGCGCCAGAAGAACCTCATCGAGCACTTCCCACCCCGCCCTGGTGACAGCACCCCTCCCAACCCGTCGTACATTCCTCGTGATCGCCCTCGCAATTTTTGCGTGTGGTCGTCGATGATGAAGCGTGCTGTCCAGACTGTTGAGCACTTCAATGAGGAAGACTATGATGTCAAGGAAATGCGCATGCTTGACGAGCTCCACTCCGGAAAGATGGAGGGCATGACATACAAGGAGATTCAGCAGCAATACCCTGAGGAGTATGCTCACCGCAAGAAGGACAAGCTTTTCTACCGCTACCCTGGTCCCGGTGGAGAAAGCTATTTGGACATCATCAACCGTCTCCGAGCCGTTATCGTTGAGGTCGAGCGCACCACCGACCACGTCCTTCTGGTTAGCCACCGATCTACTGCCCGTGTCCTTCTGTCTTACTTCCGCGGTCTGAAGCGCGACATGGTCGCTGACCTGGATGTTCCCATGGGCATGCTGTACATGTTGGAGCCCAAGCCTTATGGTGTCGACTTCAAGGCTTACCAGTACAATCCTGAGACTGATTGGTTTGACTACGTTCCCAACTATGAGTTACATCAGGTCGGTTCACAGTAAATCTGCGAAGTCGAATCTTGCAAGCCTTGCTAGGGGCCTATGGGTTCCACAATGCTCTCCATCTTCTGACGTGCCATGAATTGCGACGACATTCTTCAACATCACACCGGCTTGCTTCATACAGCCATGTCAACATCATCAGTATCCATATTCATATCCTTTGCTGACATGATGTCTCGCTTTTGCCCCCTGTTCCCTGTTCCATTTCCTTCCGCTACTTCGACAGGCCTTGGGGTTGTCCTGTATCCATATCAGTGGCCCCGGCCCCTCCATGTATCATCACCCCAAATCTCTCACCACTTCAGCCTTACACTCCCCCTTTGTTTTTCAACCGTGGCCGTTTGCTTTATCCCAGACTCCCGCTGCATGAACGGGCGTTCTGGGTTTTCTCTATTCTTATCTCAATTATCTGTTTCTTCTGCTTTTTTCCTTCTCACCGCGCGTCTTTGCATGGGTTTGGCGTTCAGGCGGGTGTTATGCTACCTACGACCCGCCCGTGAGCGTCATGACTACATGAGATTCCACATTTTTTTTCATTTCACGTCAGGCCTTCTCCATGCCTTGGCGGTACTGGGTTGATAGACCGTGCTGGTGAGACATTTGTTTTGTTGCGCTTTGTCGCCGGACGTTTAGCGTTCGTCTTAGGTCATACAAGTATTCTTGCTTATCCTTCTATCTCTATTCACTTCATGATCTCGTAGCTGTATATGTTAGTGCAGAGGTATGCTGATGGCCTGATGAATGCCTGCTGGTGCTCTATATTGGATGTTTGGACCGTAGGTAGTATACTAGGTGGGTACGTATTTACAGCTATATAGTCTCACATGGTTTCTTCTCTGGGTCCCATATCATATGGCTGTATGCTTTTGGGTACATCTAAAATTCCTCTTACCAGAGAGATCGATTTATTCTCTACATTGGATACGGCAGTAGAAATCCTGGATTGGCATTCTGAGTATTCACGGGTTTGACCCTTTTCACCAAGTGCGCCTCATCGCTGGAGTCCTCGCTGGCTTCACGATTCATTGGCAGAGAGAATGTGATGTGGACAGATAGGAAGGCTGGATCTACACCTATATCACTAAATCATAGGGCCGGAGGTGCTCCAGACCGTGTTGCTCTAGCCTGCGCATTTCGTCTTCTCTTCTGGAAAGAGAACTACTGTTAAGCAGAGCTGATCTAAATCGCTGACGATGAAACCAATGCAGACGATGAGAGACGTTCAGTGCTGAAAAAGCAGCAGCGTCTACGAAGGCAGGTGATTAGATTCGATGGATGAGCAGGGGAGTAACTCGTGCCGCGGTTCTCTGCACTGCCCATCAGGTATGGGCACGACTGGCTGATAGATCCTCGTCTGAATAATATCGAATATTTTATATTTAGGCTAAGCCGCACCATGCTTACTACTGGTCTTCCCTTGAAGTATCTACCTTTGATTCTGGCCACCTGTGATGCTCATGTATCTTCGCTAGCATTATAACATTCTAGTTTATCTCCACTCTAGCACATACGACCATAGGGTGTGGAGAACAGGGCTTCCCGTCCGCTCAGCCGTACTTAAGCCACACGCCGGCCAGTTAGTAGTATGGTGGGTGACCACATGCGAATCCTGGCTGTTGTATGTTTTTTGTCAATACTAGGATTTGCTTTTTGTTTGGTCCGTTCCGTTGGGGTAGAGCTCTTGCCGCTTCACTCTTCAGCCACTTCTGGCCCTAGAGGCCCCTGAAGCGCTAATATGGCCTTTCGGCTAGACATACCCTCTCTCTCACCCCCCTCCCCGCTCGTGTCCTTTCCCTCCCCCTATATTTACCTTTTTGGTGACGTGAACTGATCCTGATCGAAGATAACTCTGGAAAGTAGATTTACCGTGGCTACTACGACCGTCTGGTCTAGTCTTGGTTATCTCGTTTCCGAGAACGCAGTGAATCTTAGATCCTGACTAAAGAAGAGGCGCTGAAACGAATGGATTGCCCGGATGAAATTGAGCAAAATTTATTTAACTTCTCCCGTGACCGCCGAATGGATGGTCCACACTAATCAAGCGACTTGAATTGTCAATTTCCTCTTTGTATTTCCTTAGGGATGGGCCACTATGAACGGCCCGAGCCTTCACATTCGCGGAGATCACATCCACCATACTATCGCACTATACTGTTAGTTAGTCAATCAAACTCCATAAACCCGATCTTGCTTCCTTCACGTATAGGTGCCACGTGGGGGTTTCTGTCTTGCTTAGCTAGCAGCAGACGCAGAGAGAAGATAGTGTAAACCGGCGTCATATGCCTGTGGGAGTTGCGTTGGCGGCCTCGGTGATCCACGCTGAATATTCCTATCCCCTTGTTCGTTGACAACTGACCACACAGGCAGCGCAATGAACCATGGCACCGAATGTAGCTAAATCTACGCTTGAGTTGATCTATGAGATGATGAGCAGTGGTGAATTAACCGCCTCCCAGATGGCTGCAGCTACTGCCTGCAGTAAGCGCGCAATTATAGCCAGTCTTGGCACATATTTTGAAACAGCAAAGCGGCTATTTTTGCAGATCACTGTACCTTTTATTGCGCACGGGTTCTGGCGCGAGGTTGCGCATTAACGGTGCAGTGTCAGCAACTTGCAGACTTATAGCCAGTTCCTCCCCGTTTCTTCCTATCATGACACTTCAGCTCATCGAACCTCGTCCCTGGCGGTTATCTCACCCCACGCCAATATGCCCCCCAATACATGAGTCCTTCTTCTCTTACAATGTTACCCGGCCTTACTCTCATCGCTGGTTTACGCCGGTTGCTGTGCTCGGAGCGGTGACAATCGCGGCCTTGTTCAGCCTCCTCAACTTCGCCGCCAACGGCTATGATCTAGTGCTGCAAATCTCGCCTGATCCTAACTCCACCATTTCTAGTGCCGCATGGCTAGGTCGCTGGCCCTCTTACTTCACCGATAAGGTGCGGCCAACCTGCCAGCCTGCGACCGTACCTGTCGGCAGTCAGGTGTTTACGAATCAGACTTCGTTGACCTATACCTTGACGGCCGTCTGGCAGCTATCGGGTGGAATGAACAGTACTGCTTTCTCTTCAATGTCCTATTTCAACAATGTTCTCGAAAACTGCATGGTGTCAGCAATTGAAATCAATCTTGAGGCTCTTGATCGGACGGGATCCCAGTTCGGATTCTCTGAATGGGGCGCAGTAGTTCAAACTTATATCTTATGTGGCTTCTACACTCCAAGTGGACTCATACAATTCAACTTGACCCAAGCATATGACTATATACCAGCGGCTATGTCCTGGTCACACCTGTACACGTTCCTCGGTACCAACTTTTTGGACAGAGACAAAAACACTCGGGCGAGCCTGTGGTGGGGGGAGTCTGTACTTTCAAATTATTACGTCTACCTCACGCGAACGATGCAAGATATTCGGGCTAATGCCACAAAAAACGACGAGCCTGGTATCCGAAAAGGAACCATCTACATGACCCCAGGCAATAGCTCCGCCAGGGACATCACGAGTGTACAGTTCTTCAACATCGACTATCGCTTCATAGTCGACCTTGGCTATGGAAATTTTGAAGTTTTATCTCCAGGGGAAGATCCCAGTGTCTCCAAGCTAGATCAAGGCCGAGTATATCCAGACGTATGGATCATAGCCGATAGCTTAGCCAAATCCGCATACTCGACTGTATTGACGGACCTGGGACAAATCGCGGCCGAACCGAATCTTCTCACCAACGCAGACGACCTGGAATATTTCTCCAGAAGCTTCTCGACAATCCAGCGGCATAAGGCCAATGCGGACTCTGGCCCAGAGGTCGACATGTATTACGGCACTGCAAAGAATGGGACGGGTCCCTTGGGAACAACTCCGAGCGTTATTAGCATGGATTATGTCTGCCAGGTGCCTCGACTGAAGTCGACCGGTAACCTTCTAGTGTCCATCCTGGTGGCGGATCTAGTGTTCCTACAAGCAGCTTGGCGGCTGTTCAAGCTTGTTACGGACACTTACCTGTTTAAGTCCAAACCGGAATCGAATCAATGTAAGGTTGGAGAGGCTTATGTTGAGCTTGATAAGGCGGATAGTGTCGTCACGTCTAGCGGTTCCAATCTAGAGTCAAACATGCTCTGAGGCGCTGTCAACACGAACCAACTTGTGAAAGAACATGGTGCCCCGACTCCAAGAGGATACTGCAAAAAAGCTATATGGCACTGGCTAACCAGCCAACCTGATGGTGGAAACAATGCTGCATTATTCGAGATTACACTTTGACCATATGTTAACCTGAGAGGCTCCATTAACACCAGTTTGGTATCGTGAATGAAAGTTTGCATTCTGGGTAAGTGTACGGTAGCAAGCTCAAATTAAGCGCGGGCAACACCATCATTGAATTCAGGATATTCGAATTCTAGCCCTATCGAGTGATCCGGTCTCTAGGCCTAGAAGATTCTCAGGACATTCTGGACTGAGATCAGCCGATTATCGCCCAAAGAGGTTTACTGGTATTGAATACCGTCTTCCGTCTGCGGGCATACTCTTTGACGCCTTCAATGTGAGTTGGCACATTCAGTGTCTATTTTGCTTAAACCCCCACAGTGAAGGAATAAAAGGCCTCAGAACAATGCCCTTGTACTGTGCTGTAAACTATAGTTCGTACTTCCTGGATGTGAGTAGTCTTCTGTCACATAGACGCGAGTGCGACTGAGGAAGTGACATCCTGCTAGATCCTCGTAGCTTGCTCGAGGCTTTCTTTAAATAATGTGGACCTCCTACGGTGCCACATTAGCTAGACGCCTTCCCCTCTTCTGTGGCCATTCTCGGATATCACATTTGATTTATATCTCTCCGCATGTCTCTGGAATTTGATTGTAAGGTGGGCTTGGGGACCTCAGAGGAAGATTTATTCAAGATCGATAAGATATATAAAGACTTTGACGACACTGTTTAGGGCCATCATCCTGCGAGTGCCTCATTCAAATGAAAAAACCTGATGAGAATCGGGGGCTTTCAAACCCCCTCTTCCCCTACTCATGTAAGCATGGACACCCTAATATGTCCTCACATCATCTGCTCTTTCGATTTTTTCTTTAACTCAATTCGTCCCATCTTTCTGAATTGGTTCCTCTTGGTAGACTAGCCCCATTCTTACAAATAATGCCATACTATATCAGCTTGCTGTCATAGTAAGTATTGCTTGTAGTGACCCGCTCGCCAAGACGCCGGTGAATTAGTGAACTCTCTTACGACTGAGATAATCCTATCCGACCGGAGGTTTTAAGCGAGGTAGCATCCTCCGTACTTACCTCTCCACTAATAACAAACCTCTCCAATGATAATAGTAAACTAGATCGGGTGGCGTGACTTTTGACAATTAGAAGGTCATGTGACCCTAGCACTAGCACCCTGGACTATTTATTCGACAGCTTCCTTTCTCCCCCGACCCCTCCATCCCCAATATCTCGCTTTCTAATCCTCGCTTGATCTCAGCAAAATTCCTCTATCACTATTTGTGCTGCTTAATCCGAACATATATTCCGCACTGTCCGAACCAAACTATGGATCAAGAGCTCTTCCACGATGAATCATGGACGGAACCGTGGCGTTCTTCCGAGTTTCCAGCGGGAGAGACTGCACTAGAGAGACGCAGACGATTTAGGAAAAAACCTGGATGGTCAAGCGGTTGGAATGACTGGGTTCCTCGTTTCTTTCAAATACAGGCCACAAGGGCTGGAGGTTGGCCGTGGGGCTATGTCATCTATCGCACGACCTTTACAGAGACATCTGATCAAGACTGGGCCGTCGCGCTCGAGATACTTGATCGATATTGCCATGCCGCAATCAATAAATCTAAACGCGTGCCTGAGTTCAGACTCCAGCCAAATATTGATGGAATTGTCGCTGAAGGTTACCGAAATGTGATCATTCAAGACCCGAGCTTGGAAGGAGCTCCGACGGACATTATTCGAAAACGCCATATTCAATGGGTTGAAGAGCGGGGATTTGAACTTGGACTCGGTACTCCTCGGTTTGACTTTTGCATTGCTCTGGATGCCCGCTCCATAAGGTCTATTCTGGCAAGCACCGAGCCAGAACAACCTGGTATGATCGGCTATGTTAATGTTGTTGACTGTACCTTTGAGTATCATCCTGAAGACCCCGATGATGAATGTGGAGAGTACTATGATGGATTGGTTAGAGTTAGTTTAAACTCGATCTTCCAATTCGCTCTATCTTCTGATGACATCACACCTCAAGAGTCGCCGTGGGGAGATGGGGGAATGGATCGCCCCGGATGGGTTATCTATACAGACGGACATTGCTCAGCGATTGAGAAACAGGAAGTCTTTCTTGTTCCCTCCGATTATAACCTCTATCCTATTTCATATAATCGTGACTGGCCGAGGAAAAAAAACATGACTGAGTCGCAGTACAAGGAGCGCCTGAAATTAGCAATCGCTGGCAGCGAACCCGAATCTTTTACGCCAGCCAGCGGGGTGTAGCTAGATTCGACAGGTTTTCACAGCCAGGAAGGCCTTTCATCTGAATGAAGCAAGTGGTCTTGATACAGAGGACATACGAATAGGAAAATGAATAGGATCTGGCGGGGACAGCTATGATTTATTGGTAATTACCATATTGTTTGGGGTTGAATTTATTTGTTGAAGCAAAAGCCGTTTCACTTTTTATTCTTTACTCAATATACTTCGGCCATAAAAGCCGAGCTACTGATTATTTTCCAGTGTATATTCCCAATGTATAAGGCCAAAAAGATTGGCTTGGCCCTAATAAACACCATGTCCACCCATGATGTATGTCAATCCCATTTCGTAGTCGGCTGTAAGAGCTCACAACACTAGTCAAGTTGCTCGAGATGAAGGTCATCCAGGAATATATCACCGAAATGACCTAGGAGTTCGTCCAGTCTGTCGCGAGTATTTTGAGCCCGAGTGTTCCAGTCAATACTCGCCTCTAGGTCATTGGTCCACCGTGTGCTCATATCTCTTATCACTCTAGTGACAAATCTTTGGCCTGTCGCTGCCATGCCGTCTTTTGTTTGCCTGAAAAACCGATCCCAACGGTCGACCAGGTCGACATCTTTGCCATTTGATGCTTTATACGCTTTTACAGCGCGTTTCAGGTCTGCACGAATCCCATAATTGACCATTTTGAATTTTTCAAGAACCTTGGACAAATTCTGACAACTATAGATGGCGATTTTCTGACAAACCCAATGTTAGCTCACTAGCGCTCAATGCTTCTTTGTTGTGCCACCTACGTTTCTGATCAAGTCCAGCACCTGGCGAGGATTATCATCCTGAACCATGCCTTCCCATTAGTTCTTCATACCTGGGTTTTGTCCAAGTTCCAGAGATAGTGTATAGAAGACTATTAGTGGTCAATCAGGTCAAATCTTCAGCAAGAAGCCAAGGAGCCTACATCGCCCTTGACCATATTGAAGCTTTGCTGGAGCAACCGGAAAGCTTCCTTGTTGGAATTGCTTCCCAATTGTTCCATAACGCAGTTTGTCGGACGCTTGAGGTTCTAATTGCTTGCTGGAGTCTTAGGTGCATTTTCAATGACCTGCTGAGTGAACCAATCGGCGAAGAAATCGCAGTCCACGTGGCAGTCGCCATCTTTAGCAGCCCATTTCATAGAATTCCTATTCATTTAACCTCAATAATGTGCTCCACTATTCTCGAATTTAAATATAAATTGTCTTTCACTGTGTTCTTAGAAAGAGGACTCCCTGTTGATGTTTTGGGGGGGGGGGGGGGCGCTTATTGTTTTCTCCCGGTTTCAGATCATCTGCTGTTGGTTGTCGTTCTTCCACCACAATATCTGTGCATCAAATTTCGACCTTGAGGTTTATTGCCTGCTGGACACAGGCTGTTGTCAAAGCCCACTTTCTGGCTCCTGGATATGCGAATCGTGTATACTGGACCTTCTACTTTCTTGTCCTCATCCTCGCAGTCAATGGATTCTTTTCTCGCGTTCGCTCGCTTTTCAAGCCGCATGAACACATCTCTGTGGCCAGGGCAGATCGGTTAGTTTATTGATGAAGAGAAGGAATGACATACATTGTACCCTTTCCATCCAGTCAAACTCGCGACGCATCAGGTCCAAAGTGTCCTCATCTCCCGCACACATCCCACCGCCGTAGGGATCTGCTCTGAGCGCTGGAAGCCTCGATTGGTTAAAAAATTTCTAAGCTTTAACCACCGGTCATATAATGATTGCTTTAAGGCCGTATAGGCCGCATTTAGTTCCTTGTACTTACCTCCATTTCTGAGGTTCTTGTCAACCAGTACGAGTTCTCAGAGGGGGTATCTGTCCTGGCATATATCGCCATTCGGATCGGCTTCATTCTGGGAGTTGTTGCTGTTGGTCTCATAAGTGATCGAATGATCATGAAGATGACTCGCGAAAACGGCGGGGTTGCCGAACCTGAGATGAGGTTGCCTGCAATGTTCATCTACGCCTGCTTTCTGCTGGCTGTATTGATTTTGTTTGACTGGACAGCCGATAAGCATGTCCGTTGGATTAGACCTATCATTGGTCTTACCCTTTAGTATTTGGCATGATGGGTGTCTTTCTACCCATTTAAAGCAATCTCATCGATAGCTACGAGCAATTTGCAACGTCTACGATCATAGCATTAAACCGTTATCCGGTCACTCGTGGGTGCATTGCTTCCTCTCGCAAGACTCGCCATGTATGCAACACTTGGCCTTGGCTGGGGCGACACTATTCCGGGACCTTTGTGCGTGGTTTTTGACCGCTTCTAATCGCTCTCTACAAATTTGGAAGAGTGATACGCGAAAGTTCCCTGTCGACCTATAGATGGTTACCATGCTTATGAGTCCGGAAACAGTTCGATTGAGTTTTAGGGCACCCTTAGCTCCCTCACCCAGAAGATCTTTTCTTCTGATGTAGTTGTATATTCGGGAATCTCTTGCATGGGTAGGCTTCAGTAATTAGGAAGCAAGCGAAAGAAAGAAAAAGGATGTGTATACGTCTCAAAAATTAGCAGCTTGGGCGAGTAAAACGCTTGAAGACCATAGTTGCAGTTAAGCCGGTAACCAACAGTGAGCCACCCATAGTGATGACCTGTAGCAGAGCATTCATTATCTGAAGGCGGTTACGGGTCCTGCAACGGTTGCGGAAATCAGCAACATCGTTGATATCTGGGAATGGGTCACTAGGGATTTCCTCATCCAGAAATTCACATAAGGGAGCCCAGCCCTCGTTGATGTTGTACTCCAGAAGACGCTCAGGGGGCACTAGACTGCGGACCTCGTCAACGTGTTCCCTGTAGACCTGCTTGCCCTCGTTGGGGAAGTCACCTCGGAAGAAAGTCTGAAAGAACTTGTTAAGCATAGGGTAGTACATAGCCGCGGCCCAACTAAAGTTCGCTAGGAACTTATGTTCTGGATCGCTAACACGCCAGTATACGGTCTTAGTGACTGAGGTATACCATTGATCAATATCCCGGGTGTTTAGGATGACTTTGGCGTTGGGATACGCCTCAATAAGTTCCTTGGCAAACGCACAAGCGGGCCAGTCACAGACGGCCTGACATTCTCCTAGAAGTTGATCCCATTCCTTACGGCCAAAGTGACCTTCACCCTTGTACTTGGCGTTCAATGCATCGTGCCACATTAGACAATCGGGTGGGTTTTCGACACTGGCACACAACATATGGTAGCATTTGACGTAGCCTAACCGCTCGAGTGCCTTGCGGAGCGCTGGTCGCATTTAGAATTAGTCTTTGACACAAATTTAGCCAGGCTTTCAATTAGAGTACCTACAGGCAGTACCGGTACGGCCGACGCCCAGGGCAAGCACTTTCATAGGCACAGTGCGGTGACACTCGCGACGCGTAATATTGGTATCATCGGTGAATATGTCAGTGATAGGCTGAGGAGCCAGATTGTCGGAGAGCGCCAGAGACATTGTGCCCTTGTATGGAGTAGTAAATAAGGAGAACGAATGGATATGCAAAAGGAAGCACCGAGTTCTAGACTGAAGTGGCAAAACAGTAGGTGGGCGCTCGGCACCCGTCAGAGGAGCAATCACAGAGGATGATTCGGACTTCACGGAACACTATAAAACGAAGACGAAAAAGATGCAATCTCAGTTGATTAAGCTAGCCACTCTAGCAAGACACCCTTATGATCTGTGATGAAACTGACAATTCGGCCAACACCTACACTTTTACTTAGCTGCATTCATCAAAAGTTAGTTGTGCTGGCTAGGCCTTGCAGCAACCCAAAATACTCGTCCCCACAAAGCTCAACTCCGGTTCAAGCCAACCAGACCAGGGTGAGCCAAGTGTCCTTTCAAGATCCTGGGGCCCAAATTCGCTTTTCAATGACATTCAGAGTGCCCTGGTCAATATGCCGTTCCACCCATCTCATGTGAAATTCCGTGGTTACTTACCAATAGGCAATTACTAATTCTCTGTGCTCTGTATTATCGCACCGAAAAATACATTGTACAGAAGCAAATATCAGCAATCCTATGCGGAAGTATGGAAAAGGGGCTTCCAGAATCAAGTTGCCTTTTAGATCTATCTAGTTTGAAGTCTCAAAATGAGTGTCCTATTGTTGTTGAGCTCTTTAAGGCTCGAAATAGCACCATCTTTTGTGGGTCGTAAAACCCTTCACAGCATACCCGTGATACTATAGTTCGCACGCGCCTACATATCATGTCCTCGAATTTTTGTTCCCATGAGTATGACTGGCTTTGATCTCCCCAGATATGGTACTTCTCCAGCAGGGAGGGCCTCGTTTAAAATGGAGATCGACTCTATCGCCTTTTCTTCGATGTGTCGTCTTCAATTTTGTCACTTTGGAGCTGAGGCTTTTACACTTAGCTCGAATCTTGAGACCTATCATGTTTAAAGTAAAGATAATTTAGTTGTGTTATTGCTAATATACAAACCACATGTCCGAAGAGGCAAAATCTTGCTGGTGAATGCGACTTACAACATCTCGTGGATGTCAAAGGTTCCGGAAGTCGACGGACTCCAAAAACTATCATTGACAAGACCGAATTCCTATTTCGTAAAAGTTAAGGTTGCAGATAAGGTGTAATGATTCCACAGTCTGAGAATCTCGGAAGTTCTGTGATCTCTCTTTTCCGTCGATGAAGTTGTCAGTGGCTTACGGACTGAACCATGGTACACTACTTTTGTGGTTCGCGGACAAAAGTTAGAAGGGAGTAATAGAGCCCATATCTTCGCCGCAATGGCCAAACAGTCGGAAGCTATGGCAGTCAGCTGTTGCACATTCTATAGCGTCGTTAAAAGACGTTCAAGCACAGCATTTGCTGCTATAGTTGTTCGAAGGGTCTGCCCTCGTTCTTACCGCCAAGCTGGTATATAAGCTTTCTGCCGGTCCCCGTCAATCTTTTTCTTTTCATCACCTAATCTACCTTCGTTCCATGTTCCTTTGCCTCCTCAACTGGCAAGTTATCGGCTTCTTAATAGTGAGCCATATAAATTGTCTGTTAAAAAATAGGCCAGTTTTGGAAAGTGAAACCTATTCTCCCTCGTCGCTCAGAATTACAAAACGGGAATCTTTACATCCACGTATGGTAATTGCTGAAGCGGAGGCGTACATGCGCTTTCGACAATAAGTTAGAATTTGACCTTGGCTCACACCTAGGTGAATAGTTCAGAGGCAGTCAGATAGGTACATGAGGAGGGCATTGTTCTGCAGCTAGATACATTGGCCCAACGGCTCGTGCCATCGCCGGAAATCGAGCTGCAGAACAATGCTGGAGACCGGTTGACCAAGCTTTGCGTGATTTGTAAATCATGCACAAGAATATCCCCAATAACAAGAAGGTGATAATGATTCATAATGGAGACATCTCAATATCTGAACGGATGGCCTTCGGTATTACTACACCATGTAGTTTAATGATTGATCAGAATGTTCATCTCCAATTATGAAATGGGGCGCTTTACTTACAAGACGTAATCATCCAGGCTGATCAGTTCTGGCTCCGAGAAAATGAGGTAAAAGTATTTCAATGTCTCTGCAAGCCAGAAGCTTTCCATAATATCTAATTTCGCCGTCCGTACGTCGCGGGTATCATTGAGCGCAGCATAGCCGTATTCAACTTTTGTGTACTTCTCAATGTTCTGGAATATTTTCCATGCAGCATCCTGCAGTGACTTGTCGCCAGTGATTCGGTACATAATAAAAATCGATTCAATTGCTTCGGGTCTGCGGAAAAATGTCAACCCAGCGCTTTTTGATCAACTCTAGCGAGTGAATCATTTACCTCAGACGGTATCCTGGATTAGCGACTTCCAGGATTGGTGGCTGTAGCCTATTATGTTGAATAATAAGTTTTGTAGCCTCACGGACATTCATAGGCAGTTGTGCTCCATCTGGCCATCCGAAAATGTCACGGAACCATTTTTCTTCCTCCCATTCACAACGGTCAGAATTCCGGCAGCCGCTGATGTATAGGGTCTCAGGCATAATTCCAGTTGGCATAAGGTCATAGGCCCAGATACACCCATTCACTAATTTCTGTGCAACAGGCAAGTCATCTGAGCGACCAAATGCTCGGGAGCCAAGCGCTACCATACCCCCGAGGAAGCACTTCAGGTGCTCAGTTTGATACTCAAAGATTTCATCACCTGACTCTGAATCAAATTGAATATTTCCAGCGAACAGTATATCTTCCTTATCTTTCGTCATGCCATGGAAGAGTAGATGTTTCTTGATCCCTTCCATTGCGGAGATATACATTTCACGATATTGGTCTGATTGTGCCCTAAGTAGTAGATACTCTTTGACAAGGTATTCGTAAGCCGAGTCAGCCATACCACCAACTGTAAAGTAGTTGTCTGAAAATCTCAATGCTTGGGCGTCAAATGAGAGCGGCCACAGACCGGGCAGTCTAGTCTGGCTTTGGGTGCGATGTAGGTTCTCAGTAATTCGTTGAACAGCATCGAAATATTTGGGATTCCCTGTAATCTGCGAAAGCCGAGTGAACTCTAGGCTCAATGAGCCTATCTCGGCAAGCAAAGTACTTTCACTGGGGAATGTTGAATATCCAAATATGCTCCTAATAGTAGGTAATGCGTCCCAAAGTTAATCCAGAAATGCTGTAATCCTATACTGGGAATCGAGAAGACAATTTCCGCCTACCTTATCCATCGCCATCGCATCTCTGGCATCCTGTTTGGGGTATCAAATGCCCCATACAAAAGTTCTCCCAGTTCCTCGGCCTTCTCGAAGAGTATGGGATGTTTTCCTTCGGTCAGGTCATACGCACTGATCAAACCTCCCAGATGTCGGATTGTTGTCTCGAAGACATGAACAGTTGCTATTCTGGGAGTGGAAAAATCGACATAATGGAGGGCCTGAATTGCGGCTTCAAACTCTTCATCCAAATCCAGTATGAGTAGTGTATCCAAAGAGTCAATCAAAGTTGCCGCCCACCCCCCAAGGGAGCTTTTATAGCCACCACTGATCGGTGTTAATTCATCTCGCAGCCAGGCATGGCCTTTATACCCATTCCAGCTATGTTGGAACGCGTTTCTCACGGCTCGTTGCCTTTTTGCTCTCTCACTTCGATCGGATTGGGTTTCACGATCGAACAGGTGTTGGATCTGTCGAATGGATTTTGATTTGCCTTTCGGAAGAGGAATCAAGAAGACCGGACAAGTTTGAATTGGTCTGATAGTTCTTTCGTTTGTTTGTGTGGGAATTATGCATCTCCTCTGGTTTTCATGAGTTGTCTCCAAACTTAATATCAAAGTCGGGAAGTTGATACTGATCAGGACGAAAAGAAACAAGTTCGAGGAGGATATGTTGCTTCCTTGAATGAACATGATCGGTGGGATCTAATAAAGAGAAAAAGGCTTCATGGATCAACTCTGAGTTCACTTGCACGGGACTTTATTACAGAAAAGAATAGCAAAGGCCCAGAGGGGAGTGGAGACCCACGTAACGCCGAGTCAGAAATCGTTACGCCGGATGGTCAAAACGAGCATCCATGGATGCTTCTTGTTCACACCATCAAATGAATTACCAATGTACTTTTTCAACTACGTGTTAAAAAGTTTTAAACTCGATTGAGATTTTTCCCCGCCCACGCTTTTCCCCAATCAAACTACCAACACAATCACGCTAGAATTCGAAAAGTGACCCATCCAAAATCAAAATCACTTGCCAAGTGGAACAACTTCGGAAGCACCTTCTAGAGTCCATTTGCATCTACATAGGTCAACTCAATCCTTTTTGCACCGAGCTTGAGTATTCGAGATTCGCAAAAATAACGGTAGTATGAGGATGCTCCCAACAAACAAAATGAGAAGAAAAGAAAGATGTGGAGGCACATAATCCGCGTGCAACACTGTTACCGTCTCTCCTTGATGATGAACAAGCGTGCTCGGCACCTCAAAGGTTGAAGGCAGAGGCCATAGATCTTCAAGTAACTGCCTCAAAGCTTGTCTTACTTCAGTTGATGGGCTCTTCATGTCGTCATTGAGACAAATGAACTTCGTCGGTCGGTCTCTTATCGATTTTAGTTGGTCGATAGTGGTCTGGTAGTCGTCTCTCAGCATGTGAAAGGTCACATCGGTTCCCATCTTCAGTCTATATCCCTTCGTCTGCAAACGCGATCGCAAACCTGGCATATTGATGCAACGCTCAACGTCCTTGATAAAGAACCCCGTCGTGCTTCCCGTCCTCGTTGGCAATTCTAGGTTGCTCTTAAACTCAGAGCTATTATGGAGGCAGATTTGAATGAAGTCATGAAACCCTGCCGGTATTCTTGTTCCATACAAAAGGCTTTCAAGAGTTATAATCTCACTTTCTGCAACTCTGCAATTATGACTGGTCTCAATGTCTTGATCCCGCAGCCCGCACAGGGTAGATGATAGAAAGTTATGGCGATTGATCAGATAGTTGAAATAGGCAAAGCCAACCTGCAGGTCCCGTGGGTGCCGAAATCTGTGTGCCGAATTTAGCTGAAATTGTTGTGGAAACATTTCTTTGAGCTCGTTCAGTATTTGCTTGTTCATCATATGAGGCATATGAGATGGGACCCTTCGGAGATGCTTTGAGAATGGGAATCGTTCGTTGAATGCCTTTATCACAGATCTGATTGCATTAGCAACCAAATCATCGGCATGGGGGCACTGAGAAAATGCATCTAGCAACGCAGCAAGCTTTATTCTGGTGTTGGTTTCCAGCCTTAGCATTCTCCCTGCCTGGGTTGATGCCTCAAAGTGCTCTGGGGTACGATTAAGGCTAATGTGGCCGTGTCCTAAAGGGACATCGCCCCCCAAAACTGCGTCAAGTAATGACTGTGGGATCTCTGCTCCTTCCACATCGCATGCTGATGAAGCATATACTCTCCCAACTAGCCGCTCAATTTTGACTCCGCCATCCCCATCATCCACGAAGCCGTAGTCATCAAACTCGTGCTCACCTGGCACTGGGGGCTTATCTGGAGCATCATTTTCAGACCAAGCCCTATGCTCCGGATATGCATCATAGCCCAATGGAACTGGGTGGGAGAGGTAGATGGTTTGTACCCCTGATGGTGTGATAAAATCATCTGGCCATATAGGTGCAGCGAGCAAAACATCGTCATTGAAATATATGAATGTATCACTGAGACCAGAGATTCTATCCAGGTTGCTCTCGATAGCGGTGGATGAAAATACCGGCAAGTATGAGGGATTTTTGAAAATTTCCGAGTGTTTGACAATTGTGACACGGGGATTGTCCAGATTCAGCCAAGATGGAACCTGGCCGTTCGTCACAATGTATATATGGCGTATCCAAGGTGCATATTTTTCTAGCGAGCGAATTGAATATCGAAGCTCGTCATTGTCTCGAAAATGATTGTCGGCGAAAGCATCATTCGCCTCATCAGAGCCATTGTTCTGACCGTTCTGGACATCAGGGGCAGGTGCATCATATTCCTGAACCCAACGCTGATACCAAAAGTCCCTGTCACTCTTCCACATGGGATCTGACCCATTGACCCAGGTGTAAACCGCATCAATGGTTTCAAGCCTCAACTGTTGCGAGAAGCCACTTTCGCCAACTTTGTATGCGTTGGCATCAACACGAATTTTGTTTTTTGAAGTGTCGTTCAAGATGAAGATCAACAGAACAAATGCAAAGCAAGAGCGACAACTGAAATTAAAGAACATATCGTTGAGCCACGGCAGGATTTTAAAACCCAGACTTGCTCAAACTAGCCTCAGAACCTGGAATTTAAGACGTAGCATTATCTCAAAGCTAATCTCAAATTAGACAACGAGAAGCCTCAACGGTTTTTCAATCCTACTCCACGTCCATTGTTTTAGCTTATTCACTACCGGGATTTCCGCAAGAGAAACAGTTTGGAACGGAGTGAAGTTTGACTGGGCTAAAGTTCGAACCGTTGGAACTCAATCGTGGGTTCACAGTGTCAGTAGATCTCGTCGTTCCTTGGGCATGAAAATCTCGGTTCGACCCTTTACTGAACAACCCCAGTTCGACTATTGGAGGGATCATCCTCTAGGACAGACGAATGTCATACATTTTCCCATGCCGAAAAAAAAATCCTAATTGATGAAACAGCGGACGTATCCATGATACAGATAACCTTTCAAGGGTGAAGGACTAGACCGCGCCCAAAGGCGGGTCGGGTCGGTTACGAACTCGGACCCAAAACCTATCGAGACGAACCACGGTAATGCATCTCAAATTATGCTCAAGGCCACAGATAGTATTTCACGGTATCACATGTGCAATTTGTAGTGTATGTAGCTGAGGGCACTCATCTGTCCAGGGTGACCGACTCTCGTCCTTATGTATCCCAAGCTGTTTTACCCTCTGGCCTAGGTGGGGCCACGGAGAAGGGTTTAGCGGCCAGAACGAGATGGAGCATATATGCTTGCTACTTTATCTACTGCGTAGGACTCTTCTGTATTATCTGCCATAGTCGCCTATTCAAACCGGAACAAAGGTATTTTAGTGACTGAATGCAGTTCATACAGAAATGGTATAGATGCTAATTACTTGCTGTCTATATTACAACTTCCTCAACTATTCCATCCGAAACCATTCTTGTTCTTGCTCCTTATGCTCCTACATTCACATGACCACAGGGAACCCAATTCAAAAGGTGTGGATAAGCGAGCTGGTGTAGTATACGGAAAAAAGGATGAAAACTCTTTCGTCACCATCCGTTAGAGCTTTGGTTGTAACAACATATTTTCGTGCTTCCGTCTGATGGCATTTTGACTGCTGCAGTGGTAAACCAGCCTAGAAACTAGTCTGGGCTCAATTGCTTTTTGGCCCCAGTCTGGCGGTCGGCTGCTAAATTCAAATCGTTGATATAATCGAGCGAATAGCTAAATGTTGGACTGCTGCCATCTTCATTCCTTAGTTTTGAATTGCTGGTAAGCCATTTATGATAAAAATATCTTCCTCTTAAAAGCGGTCAATCGCTACTCGAGAACTATGAATCATTTAAGGAAGAAACCATAGGTAGCTTTGCTCAGAAGTATAAGCTGGTAGATCTTTTATTGCATAAAAGAAGAACTATGACATACAAATGTTCAGACTGTATCAAACAGAGCACATGCTTACTTTTCATGAATAATTTCCAGCACTTTTAAATTAGTAACACAATTTGAGATATCATCACTTCCACTCAGTCCTCCCAAGACCCTCCAGAGTATCGTTTGCCACTTAAATTATGCACACCACAGAGCTGCTGTTGGAGGAATCCTGGAATTTCGGGTTGATTAGCTTCCTAGCAGAGGATAAATGCAAATGAACAGAGCAGGCTAACAATCTTGGGCCAGACAATGGCGCCCTTTTTGCAGCAAAGCCGATCACGACTACCACAATAGGAATTATCTAGTGTTTGTGAGTAAGCTGAGTGGGTATAGACCAATTATGGCCCTGCTCACCATAGCCGCAGCGAGTTCCAGCTATGTTTTTCACGGCATATCCAGTGCAACAATAACAGCCGGGAGGGCTGATTAGCCTCTTGTCAAATTCATTTTCATCAAGAGATCCGTCATCAGCAGAAATGCCGGTGATTGCCAAGACAGCAAGAAGGAGGGCTCTGAAATACATCTTTTGAGAGGGAATCTGGCAAGAGATTATGACACTCCGGGTCAGTGGTTTTGAGTGAGTAAAATTTAAGACCAATGTAACATTTATAGAGTAAAGAACAGATTTTAAATGATACCAGCCGGGGTCTAAAATGTCAGTCTGCAAAGTTGGCCCTTAGATGATCATACAAGTCAGCAGTGAGCGGTTCCGGGGCAGGAGACCTTGCAGCATTGATGTCACACGAATTCGAAAGCAGATGTTGGTAGCCGATCTATAGTTCTAGAGTGAGCAACGGATCCACTTAATCTTAAGGTTTGATCGACATTGGGGCCGATCCATACGTTGAGCAGCCCTTCAAGACAGATCAATCGCTCACTTTAGGTTGTTATTACGGTTTGCAAAAGGCTGTCCAATTGAAAGACCCAAAAATAAGATCACAAAAAGACTTTATTTGTTTCTTGTCCAAAAATGAAGATGAATTAGATAAAATTAGGAGATTTTTGTGGCATGAATAGTAGGAAAGGGAGATCCATTACATTACAGTAAGTTCCATGGGAAATATGGTGAAGAGTGAAAGATCAGCTCGAAATTGTTTGGGGTGAAAATCAGGCGTTTAATTTGACACAATGAGAGCCAGCAAACCAAGGAACCTTAAATAAGTTCTGTTACCAATTATACTAAGACAATTCCATGGAATGATTGATGACGATCTAGACGCTACCCACACAAGGTCAAGAGCTGCGATCTTGGTATACCTTCTGTACGGCTCTCCTCTGATTAGCGACCGTGAATCATACCCCGAAGGCAATAATTCAAAGGTATTACTCTACCGTGCTTTGATTCACTGTATGTAAAGATGAGTTTCGTCATTGACGATCCATGCCATCCATGGGTCCAGCAAGAATACGAAAACCATCAACTTTGTCAATGAAAGCATCATGTAGTCCCTTTTCCTTGCTTGTCTATATTCAATATTGATGCGCTACTGGTAGATCGAATGGATCTAGACATCCGTCGACTTCCGATAGTTTCAACAGTAATAGCTTAACCCAAATTTCCTCTTGCTTGGATGCCCAGGTTATATTGATGGGGGATTCGATTTCACCTTCAATTTCTTATGAGAAAGGCGGACCGACAAGTAGCCCGTTCATCGAAATGATTACAGCCATTGCGAATGAATTCTTCCATGCTGTTGAATATAATCAGTTAAGATGGGAGCCCGTCACCACTGCTTGGCCCACAGGGTTGGTGACCGGTGCTTATTATTCGCATCTTCTACAATTTCCATTCCAGGAAATACTGCTGGAGGGGCAGGTGCTTGGGAAAGCGTCATTATGGGATCAAACCTATCCCCCAGATGGGTTGAATCATTATGATCCAAATTTGCAGTCCCAAAGCGATCCTGATCTCGCAATAGTCAACTGTGGGGAATCATCACACAGCACGGAAATATTCCTACGGGGATGGCCCGATCAGGCACTTGACACTGTTTGCGGTTGGGGCTCCAGCGAACAGCATACCCGACGAGTTCGGAAGGAATTCGCTGAAATACTGAACACATATCAAGTGGAAACGCTGAATGATGCAGGCTGCGGTGATCTCGCTTGGATGAGCACGATAGATCTGCGGGGGATCGACTATGTCGGCTATGATATTTACGAACGTGCCAACTGGGCCGAGCTACGACAACGTGGTTATCAACTGGAAATTCTTGATATCACAGCAAATGAATCACGCCTAGCTGACCTTTTTGTCTGTCGTGATGTTTTCATTCACCTACCCAACGACATGATTCTTCCGGCGTTAGAGCGATTCCGTCGCTCGGCCTCGTTACTTCTCACCACGAGCTATACTGCCGACCCTAGTACGAGTGAAAAGAAGTTCTCCAACTTCCAACGAATGAAAGAGCCAAGCCTACATCACGCAAAGCTCGATCTGACTCTACCTCCGTTCAATCTCGGCCATCCGCTTATTCGTATCCCTGAGGACTCGCCTAACAAATACCTTGGACTGTGGGACATGACTCGCCTACCAAATGTCCCGTGATCAATTTTGATCCCTCCTATCTCCGAGGACCTAGGCTATGTTGGCCATTTAGAAGCTGCTTACTTTTAAGAAGCTGTTAGGCTGCACGGGTGACAAGTCAATGGCAAAGGACTGATAAGGCTCGGGAGACTATCCAACACTACACGGCGTGATTACAATTGCCCTCGCAGTGTGTTCCTGAAATATTCATTGAATTTGATACTGTATATTTTCATGAATATAGTCTGGAAAGCCAGTATAGAAACCAGATATAATAATGTGCTTAAGGAAATCAAGAAGCGGCGGATATAAGGACGATGAGCACGGGCGTTCACCCCTAGTCACACCTCCCTATTAGTTAAAAACGCTCCCTTAACTAACTAGAAGGCTCGAGCTGCATTTCTAGCTCGATGTGGCTCCAATGAGTACTAAATTGAACTATGAGACAGTATGATATTTAACACCATACACTAATGATTTGATGATAGAAACACTCCTACCAAAACCAACTAGCTTGTACCATGATTTAAGCCAGAAAGTGAAACATGATTTACCCAGCCAATAATACCCAACCTCTGGCCGTAGCTAGAAATGAAGAGCACCAGACCTGATCGAGTCTTCTCGGGGCAGTAGATCGATGATGTATTTGTACATCATCTATGCTCGATGTAGTTTGCCGTGCGGTCCATGGTAAGGAGTGCCAAGATCATGTCATCGATGCCTTTGGTCCTTTGAGAACCCGGAGGTTTTACTTTCTACGATAGATATGCGGTCGATTAATGCTCGAGCATAGATTTATATTGTTTATGAGTTGCCTTCATACCTTTGTCGCCTCCTATGGTGTGCCGTGGACGAAGTAGCAGACGGCAAACGAGATCTCAGATCTTCATTATGGCGTATTCTTTGTTCATCCTATCCGTGCTGCTTTCACTGACCCGTGGGGAGCCGGATTGGCCAAAGAAATCATTTCGGACAGGAAATTGGCAGCCCCCTCACCTGTCACTCGGCGAGACAGGTGAAACGGACCCTGGGTACATATTTATAGGCGTTCGAAAGTCCAACAAGGCTGGCACCGCTCCAACAATTTTTGACAACAATGGAGATATGGTGTGGCAGGGCCCACAGCGGGAGAACCTGGATTTCAAGACGCAAAAGCTCTTCGGCCAGGATGTGATCACGTACTGGGATGCACAGCCAGATCTAAGAGTGTTAGGATATGGCGCGACACATATCCTCGACAGTACATACAAAGAGATCTACACAGTCACTCTGCGCGATGACTTTCGCACTCCAAGCGGGAAAAACTTTGACTCTTTTATCGATGGCCACGAGCATTACATCACGCCTCAGAATACCATGCTAGTCTCGGCTCTCAATTTCACCCAAACAGATACTAGCCATCTTAGAAGGGGTACGCTCAACATGTGGGTTTTGGACTCTTTGTTCTACGAAATCGACATAAAAACAAACAACGTTTTGTTCAAATGGGATGCACTCAGCCATATTCCAATTTCCAAGTCCAGTGTTACCGTGAAGGGTGGAAAATGGTTGCATGAGGCCTGGGACGCTTACCATATAAACTCGGTCACTTCCGCGAAATATGGATATCTGGTCAACTTCCGGCATATCCGCTCTATTTTCTATATTAACAAGGATGGTTCTGTCCGCTGGCAACTTTCTGTTGGTATACCTAAGCTTCACGGATCTTGAGTATACCCGCTAACTCAGAGTTATGAAGGGTGACAACGATAACCACGGCGACTTCCAGAGTAACAATGTTAGCTTTGCATGGCAACATGATGTCCGTGTTCACAATGAAACCGACGAAAGTTTGGTTCTCAGTCTCTACAACAACGCTGCCATGGACCATACGGACCCTGGTCCATCAACAGGACTAGTCATCTATGTTGACCTCGTCAACAAGAAGGCATGGAGAATTTACGAGCTGATAGATCCAACTGACCATATTGTGAGTGCAACACAAGGGAGCTTCCAGTTCCTTCATAGCCCAAGAGCAGGGCACATGCTGGTGGGCTATGGATCGATACCTAAACTCAAGGAATTTGACGGAAACGGCAACGTAGTTCTCCGAGGGCAGTTTGGCAAGGATACATTTTCGGCTAATGCCTACCGCATATTCAAATTTCCCTGGCGCGGTACTCCACATTGGGATCCTGTTGTCTCTGTTAATTACACAACTTCGTACACAACCGATCTCTATATAAGCTGGAACGGTGCCACGGACTATGACAATTGGGCTATTTTCTCAGTCCCATCTCGGAACTCAACATTGCTAGAAGGCAAGCGTCTGCTGGTGCATGAGCGAACCGGCTTCGAAACTCACGTCCTTCTTGAGAATATCAACACCCGCTTTATCATTGCTGTTGCAAGAGATGGAGAGAGAATATTGGGAAAGTCCTCCATCGTGGAACTGGGTCAGATAAATTCTGTTTGTCCTGTTTTACATGAAGGAAGATTGCAGACTCTTGACAGGGACATGTTGAAGTAGGCTCGGCATAATAAGCTATCAAACCCTCCCAAATATACATCATCCGCGGGAAAAGCAACCATCCTAGTTGTTAATAGTTGAGTGCATACATGATATTTTCTGAAAGGCTAATATGATACATATACCCTATATCTTAAGCAAGAGAATTGCAAGCAGGAATATCAATCTAAACAGTAAATATACAAATCGGAATACTTAATTCAGCCTGATTAGCACAGGCAGGTCGGAGCACAGGAGAGAAAGACAGGCACAGAGCGTCGAGACAGAAATCTAGAACAGAAAGCTGCTGGCGGGATTGACGAATATATAGCATTATCCAAGGTAAATCACCTACTTACAGCGTGCGGACACTGTCTATATGGGGCACAGACTTCCGAGTACTAGGTACTACCCGCTGACTCACTCGGTAATATGTTGCCATTGATCGCGACCCTCGTCTAACGGAAAGCCATATGCTCCTCTCGATGACGAAAATCTATAATCAGGATTTTCACCTCGCAGGGTCATCCTGATAGTAATGGTTTGCAATCGAGTCTATCAATATCCTCACACGAAATCGTTGAACGAAAGCCAGCTAGTAGTATCCCTTCTTTAGAAAAGCATAATTCAGTGGGTAGGCAGTTAGGCAGAGAGATAAAATAGTGCTGCGAGGAGTATATATCAAATTCCTCACGAGATACCCGCGATTAATGAATCTATGGAGCCCTGGCCTAGACATGCTTCGAAAAGTGACGTGCCCTGCGCCATCTGTAATCTACAGAACTTGTTTTTCGACCAAAGGGACAAAGTTGTACCAGACTGCAATCTGAAGTCGGCTATCGATGCAATCCAGCAAGGGAAGAAACTGACAGTATCAAGTAATGATTAGTACAAGGCTTATAGAGCTGGGACACTCAAAGCTTCAGGATCCGATGCGATGTCGAAGGACGACAATCATGCCGCGAATATTCAAGAGGTCCAGAGAGCGAAATACAGGATGCTGGGAGGTGTGTGCCGCAACGAATGAGCGCTCCACGGTAGGCGTTACACCAGTATTGGACTGAGTAAACATCAGATCTATATAGTAGTAATTCTTTTAGGCAGACATTGTCGGTCTCGGAAGCTGTGAGTAATTGGCGTTAATCGTCCGCGGTACACGGCCTATGATTTTTGTTTCTATGTATCTAATACCTAAACTTGAAAGACTTTCATAGGTACTTGACCTCGCGGTACATAATTCTACGAGGGGTTGACTGAAGCCGTTGCTTTATTTAATGTAATGTACTACTTTGTTGAAAGATCTCTGGCATTAGGAATGTCGTATATCTCCTGGACTTCAACGTGGCTTCTCTGATCTTATATCTTATTATCCAGCCTAATTGTATCTATGCCGAAAAGTGTGAATCCTAAATTACTAGGCTCTCTCGAAAGTCTATCTGTGGCGCTCCCCCCCGATGTTAACGCGAAGGGCTTATCTTTGACTATAACTCTCTCGGTAGTTTAGCGAGGCGAATACGACCATCTCGTAGTGCGTATGTTATCTAGGTAGTACAAACCGGATTTAAGCTTCTCTACGCTAGCTGTTCTAAGTAATATTATGTCGTCTAAGTAATGCGGATTTGACGAATGCTTAGCCTCGGCATAGATATGCGACCCGATGACTTTGGAAAGTCGAGTGATTTTGGGATGGTTCGGGGTATCGGATGACCCGAGCAAAATATCATCCTATGCCGCTTCGTAATTTGCGATAATATATATACGTAGATAAGAATTAATTATATTAGGCCTCTTCTGTGCGAGACGCACATAGGTCACCGGAGAAGCAACACTAGGCCACTAGATTCTGCGAGGAACCAGCGATTCTGGGGTATCAGCTGTGATATAAGTAATATCGTCACTAATAATGCGTCGAATATTAACTGCGCGCCGTATGGACACCTCCTCTCTACTTTCGGGAACCTCCGGCACCTGTGTGCTCTACTATCGCACCTAAAGGGGGTGATGGTATATCCCCAGAATAATCGCGTGGAATTCTTGTTCAATCATCTATGGGCGTCGAAAGCGTATATATCGATCCACGTCCTCTATATATATAGCCGATAGGATCAGGTTATTTTTATTCACTAGTGGAAGGTCTGTCGAGAGAGGCAAATATAGAAGTGGCCAGAGGCTCAGGCGCACCGCAACTATGATCGTGGACTCCTAAGTCCTTAGTGATGTTGAAGTGGCTATACGTATTGTACTCTTTCGGATCCCACTCGATATAGTTAATAAGGTTGACGCCAAGCTTGCTGCTGTTGTCCACTCCTGCATGAAGCACGTAGGCAGTAAGATCAGAAAAAACCGCCGTGTCTCTATTTAGATGTGCTGGACGCGGGTTTTTAAGATTGACGGATCGATCATAATCATTCATTATCTCGAACTTCACATGCTTCGACATTATTTGCTCCTATATTGCTTCGCTGCCTTTGTTCTTCCTTACTAGGCTAGCGTCGCGAGCTTCGGCGGCAACATGAACCTCGGGAAGAACCTA